CCCTTTGGGAGAAGCCAGCTGCCATGTCAAGCATCTCAATACAGCATCTGTAGCGAGGAACTAAGACTTCCTGATAATAACAGGAACTGAGCATTCTTGCCAAAAGTCACTTGATTGAACTGTCTTGGAAACACCTCCTGTAGCCCTAACCAAGCTTTCAGGTACCTGCAGCCTTGCCAGACAGATTGACTGCAATCTTATGAAAGTTTCTAAGCCAAGAGAACCTTGCTAAACTGCTTGTACATGCCTTGACCGTCAGCAATTGTGTATAATAATACATTGTTTCATGCTGCTAAAAATTAGAACAATTAGTTACACAACAATGGATAACTAATACACAGATCTGAGCAGAAAGGGAGACTAATAATATCTGGATAAAGAGTCTTTGGAAGTTGATAGTGTTTAGGGATACTTTTTAAGGGCAGGAATTATGTTTTTTTAACCTTATATTCTGTGTATATTGGACTCTTTGTAAATATCCATAGAGTTAAGAGGAGTCTAAATCTTTTGAAAGTGGAAAGCACAGACAGATTAAGAAAAGATAGGCAAAAAAGGAGGTTTATGAACACTATATATCAAGAGTAACTAGCCTGGTTTGTTCTGAACTGAAAGATTTCCTGAACTGTGCAATATTTAGTAGCAACAATGGCAGAAATAAAGGAACTCTTCTATGAAAACTAGGAGAAATTAATGTGGGACAGCCCATCCGCCTTTTCAATGTGGAAAGATTTCATTTGTTCACCAAATACTTTGTTTCTATTATGTACTAAGTCCTATAGATTCAAAATAAATTAGGGGCTCTGGCTTGAAAATGCACTGATATAAACATTTGCGCTGTTTATATAAGGATAAATTTGTCCTTCCTGATCAAATGCAACTGCTTTCTAAGGACTTTTGCAAAGATAATATTTCTGTAACTATTTTCCTACAAGCCCAGTCTTAAACATGACTGTAAGCATCTCAGTATTTTCTGAATCCTTTTTACTATGCCTAGTGATACTTCTTAGAGCAATAAACGAACATTAGTCCAGAGGGTAGATCACAATCATGAGTATTATACAGTATGGTTTTCTGGGTAGATTTTATTTCTTCCATGATGCATAAGCTTACGTCATACCTGCTGCAGACACTTTGGTCACCTGTTTCTTAAATTTTGATAGCGATAGTAAGAGTATAGGTGATTTATATTTATTATTCAGTCTAATCCTTTTAACCTTGTGAAACAAAAGCCTACTAAATGCCTCAGCTTGAAAGTGAGGAACCCAAAGCTCTGTTCCATTCTGTGTTGTGTCCCAGCTGAAGTGCATTGTTTGTGTCCCTCCAAATCACACATTCCTTCGTTTTTTTCTTTCCTTAAACCTCATGTTCTTAACCACTGTACTATATACCTCACACCATAATTGCTAGCACTTCATATGTGTTGAATACTGTGCCAAACCTTCTCCGTTATCACCTCAATCTTGAAGAGGAAATAATTTGGTGATTAAAGGAAGAAACAGGGATGAGGGGCTGGGACACCTATGGGCCCTTTGCTATTCACTATGGCTGTAGCCTAATAGTATCAGCATCACCAAGGAGGGTTTAGAAATGCAAGCTCTGAGATCCTACTCAGACGTACTTAACCATTGCTTTCACAAGACTTTCAGATGACTTGTAATCACATTAAACTTAAGCACATCAAACTTCAGAAGGCGTTGCTATAGACTTATGAAGAACCCAACCCCAGCTATGGGCTTGTTTCTCCAACACAGAGGTTCTCTAAATGTGACCCCTGAACCAGGAACATTGGCTTCACCTAGGAACTTGATTAAAGTACAAGTTCTAGACACCTGCCCCAGGCCAGTTAATTGAAAGGCTATGGCAAAATCTGATTTAATCCTCCAACTAATTCTGGTGAATGCCAAGTTTGAAAATTCTGCTTCTGATGCTTTGCAGTCTGTATACCTATGCTTAACCAGGAAAGAGGAGCCAGCAGTGACACCCTGTGGACCCACTGAAGGTTTGCACCTTTTCTATGAGGATACCTGGCAGGATAAAACCTTCGTCTTTGTACTATATATACAAAGTTGATTTCTTCTTTCCAAAGTTTTGGCTTTAGGATCTTATGCTCATTTGAGTTATGAAGGTTAGGTTTTTTAATTCAGCACACATCCATTTTTCAGTACACAATGAGTTTGTGACAAAGTGCAGAAAATATAAAGCTTATTAAATTAGTCCCCCTGCAAAACATAAGTTTTATCTATCACAGAACCAGCTACAAATTCATTAGATGCTAATTGTTCCACCTCTGTCCTTATATGCTTCATATACATTTATTTCCATTTTACAGAAAGGAATGAAGACTCATTGTAGTTTATAATTCTAATCACACAGCAGTTTCTTCTTACAGTGATCCCCAAGGATTCCTGCTACTAGAATCACTAAGAAGTATGTGTGATTCAAATATAGGACCCCAAAAACCTACCCAATCAAGTTTCTGGGGACTGTGGCATGTTCAAGAACTCCAGGAAAATTTTACACAATACTTTCAGAACTACTGTACTGCATTGTATTCTCTCAAAATATTGCCCTACAGATCTTATCCTGAAATAAGTTAGTATCAAAGATTTGTGGAGCAGCATGGAAAGATGACCCAAGAAATTGAGGAATATCTATGTGGTAGAAGTCATAATGGATTTGAAGAGGTTAATGGTGGTATAGAATTATTTGCAGTATTGTCAGAAAAAAAGAACATCTCACTAAGACATCAATGCCAAGTGGTCTTTTAGACTCACTTTCTAAGTGACTTGCTCATTATATGGTATCTCAAATTCTTCTGTCAGAAAACTCAGTTTCAAGAATCTGGGTTAGAAATCCTGAACCAATTATCAAGGGAATGGCCCAGATAAATTTGAAAAGGGTCACAATTAGAACCTTGAAGTCATACTTTGAGTTATTTATAGGATGACTGGTGTTCTTTGAGACAATGTTGAGGGACATAAATCAGAGCTTTGATATCACATGGTTTCTCTTATATGACAAACTCAAAGTATAAATAATTTAAAGAACAAAACAAAAGCTAAACAATAGGTATCACAGAGACACATCTTTAGCAAATGGGAAGAGGACCAAGAGGCGGAGAGAAGGAAAAGTTAAGAGTTAGCATGGGCTATGTACACGAGCCAACCCCCAGGTGAAGGTAAAAATTACGTACTACAGACAGTACAATAATAAAAAAAGTTTTTTAAAAAATGATTTTAAGATGTTAACTGGAATATATTTCAACTCTAAACAGATTGTCTCTAAATTCTTTCAGTTCTGAGGTTTTTTTGAATTATTATCACTTTAAATTTTCCTTTTATATTTGAAACCTTAAAATCTATAGCTATTTTAGCAATGGTTATGCAAGTTTGTGTTATGCCCCCTGGTGGCAATATGGAGAGAAAGATGAGAAGCATATTTCAATCACAGGGAGACCAGACTTAATTGAAATAGGTGGCAGGGCCTGAATTTGAAATAGAATTTCATATAAAACTTTTCTGGTCTTACTAAAAATAGGAAACATCCCTTTAAACTAAAATCAGATGTATTAACTTTAGCCTGCGAGGGGCATATTTCAATTTCCCTTTCTTTGTCATAAAATGGATTAGCTTTTTGAAATATGTCAGTTGAACTTGAAATTAAATATTTGCTCTACATATCGCTAAGTAGCTTAACTTATAAAAGATACTAAAGTCTATCTGGCAGCATTTCCTTCACATACTGATGCCATGTGCTTCTTCTAATACAGGTATTAATTTTCCCATATTAAGGAACCTTAAGATGTTACTTAACAGTCATTTTTAAGGATGCGTCAAGAAAAGAAACTCTAAGTTGTATAATTAATACTTCAAAACTTTCAACAGTTTCAAAACACTTACGCCAGGGCCTTTTGTATAGTTTTTTAACTGGGGACAAAAACAGATAATATATTAAGCTACCAGAACATTATACTGATATTTGGTGTGAGAAAATGCATAAAAGTGTTTTGTGCTAGATTAAAATAAACCTAACTCTTGGAGCTGGGGTTATAGTACAGTAATAGAGCTCTTGCCTAGCATGTGCAAGCCCTGAGTATGATATCGTTCCGGCATAACATCACACACTAACAATAAAAGATAAGCCTGACTTCAATGGCTGTATTAGCCATGGAAGAGAACAATGCCTGCTCCTTAAGTAAATATTCATGTGACTAGAAGTTGTGTGATACTATTCTAGACTTGAAAGAGTAAAACACATAGGCAATGGCATTAAGAAATGCAATGTTGGGGCTCGGGATTTAACTCAGCGGCATAAGCACCTGCCTTGCAAGCAGGCGGTCGTGAGTTTGATCCCCGGCACTAATAAAAAAAAAAAAGACAAAAAAAAAAAAAAAAAAAAAAAAGAAATGCAATGTGTAAAAGGTTGAAAATACATATAAACAGTATACTATAATAATACACATTTAAAATGAAAATAAAAAGGAAAAAATTGAGTTAAAATGTATTTACAACTGAGTTTTGATGGAGTCTTGAAGAATAAGTATTTTGTAGTTGAACAAAGGAAAATTATAAAATAAAAGGCATGGAAACTAAAAGTTGTCCAGGATTGCCTGAGAAGTCATTGAGAGAAAAGACAAGAGTCTAGATTATGAAAGACCATGAAATTTATACCTGTTTACTTTATCCTGTAAATGAAAGATCCCATGAAAAAGAAAGACTTAACTTAGCAATCCTTTTTATTATGTAGTTAAGTCCAAATGCCCTCATAGCATTTATGACCCAATATTGTTTGTATAAGAAAAACAACATACAGGTTCACACCTGTAATACTTGGACTCTGGGAGCTTGAGGTAGGAAGATCTTAAGTTTGAGTCTGGCCTGGGCAACTTAGTGAGACTCTGTTTCAAAACTAAAAAAGGATAAGGTGGTTGGGCATATAGCTAGATGCAAAGGCACAGGGTCCAGTCACCAGTACTGCATAAACAAAACAAAGAACAGAAATTGAAATAATATTTTTATTTTATTCTTAAATAACTAGTTACTAATTCTATATCTATGTCTATTGGGCAAACTATACAATTTTTCAATCCTTAGAATCTGTTTAAACATTGTAACCTTCATTTCCTGTTCCATGATATTCAGACACTTGCAGAAAAAACAAAAACATAAACCCAGTTTCATGGGTATCATTAAAGGTATACATACCAGGGTACAACAGTGAACCAGGTTGAACTAGTAATTTACTGTGGTGTCTTATCGAATATTACTGTTTTCACTGGAAATTTTAAAACATGTCATGGTTCCTGTGAGTTAGTTCACTGTGAGAACAGTTTGAGAAGCCGAAGGACTGTACAGACCACTAACAGTTTAATTTCATGTTAGATTATACACTCTCATACCTATGTGGAAGTATTGGAGACTACAGTAAGACTATTACAAGTATTATCAGATGAGAAATGATGAGGATGTAATTGAAACATGAGTACAAGAAATGTGAGAGGGATACTTGAGTACATTCACCTGTCATTTCTGATAACCAAACCCAAATGCATACAAGGGAGTCAGGTGTGAATGGTATAAAAGGGTGGATGAGTGCCTTTTCCAACTTGAACAAAAGTACAGCCACTGATATGAATTCATCACAATGGTCTTTAATATTTGATCATCATATCTGATTTTAACTATTTTCTCTTATGATCCCATATTTTATTTCATGCATGAAAAATATTATTCTGAAAGAGCTCACTTGGCTTCACCAAAATGCCAAAAGGTTAAAAACACCCAGTTTAGGATATGCGAGTCTGAAAATGAAGAGAGACATAAATGTAGTAAAAGGTACATAAATTTACTAATAGTTATATGAGGATTTAATTTCCAGCTGAATCCAGGGGCATCAATAAGTTTCCCAAAAGGAGTACAGAGGTTGGGATGAGCAGCAAGAGAAGCAGCCTAGAAAACAAACATTCAGGGGGTAACAGAACAAAGTTCTCTGGGAAAATAAATTTAAAGGAACAAATACTGAATTATGACAACCAAGAGTGCTGTTCCTGAGATAAACCCCGGGGGAAAAAAGCATTAAATAGACAAGTAGAATTTAAGGAAGACAACGATGAACATGTAGCCATGATCAAAGCCATGATGCCACAATAGACAGATTCCCAAGCATAGAATGGGTTTTTAGAAATTTGGTTGTGCAAGAAAAAGCAGTGACTAATGATGGAGACAGGTCCAGGGAGTTAAAATGTCTTAGATAAGAGATTTAGTCATGTTATCTAGTCTCACAGGCAGATTTGTCTATGGGATTAACACTCACGAATAAAGAAATGCAAGGAAGGGTCAAAGCAGAAAGCTCAAGTACACATTCCTGTCTGTTCCTCCCTGAGAACTCATTGTTGCTGTTCCTTTTATTCTGGGTTCTTTACTCTAATGGGAACCTTTGATTACAGTTTACTACCTCTGTCAAACACCCATGATGCTAACTATTAATAGGTACTGAATGTCTACCATATGTCAGGCACTGTGCTAACAACTTTACATGTTTTAGCTCATTTTTCTCATGAAAAGGCCAATGGCATCAATGAAAACACTGACTACCACCCTCAAATTCTCTCTTTTAACTAATTACATTACAAAGTGTGGTATAATGAAAACTTGTCTGATTTCAGTATAGTGTAGAACGTAGGTCAAAGTTTGGCCCAGTTAATCTTTGCAGAGCTTCATAATTACTTTATAAAGTAGTAATATGAATGTCTGCCTTGTGCTCAATTTGGCATCACATATACTACAATATCTACCTTGATCTGCGTAAGAGAATCAAATGAGTGTCTAACTACAAAACTTAGGGTGCTGCCAAGGCTCAGTACTGCTACAGTTCTGCATGTCAATAAAGTAACAACAGCCATGATAATAACAGAAAAAAATACTGATTTAAAGGCAACTATTTTTGTTTTACTCTAAATAACTGCGTAAAACAAAATTGTTTTACAACAATTAGCTGTGTAACTATTTTAACTATAAATTTTTTTTAAAAAATTACATTGAATATACATCTTATGAAATGATCACTTATAAGTCTATAAAAGTCTGAACCAAAATTAACTTAACTATTTCCTTCCCAAACAAAAATTAAGAGAATGGCAAGCTATTTACAAGGTGACATTATTTACAAGGTGACATTATGTTGACAGGCTGACGTTCTGAACATTCTCTTCTTTAGTTCAGCAGCTTTTTCATCTATCCGAGCATAACAGTCCTCCACAGCCTTTTCAATGCCTTCATGGTATTTCTCTACAGCAGTTTTCAAGCTTAGAAATATTTCCTAAATGGAAAATGAAATAGAATAAGAATTATTCCATGTGACAGTCTAGTTTAGAAATGAATTACAAGAATTTCAATAGTTTCAGTCAAATTTATTAACAGTATTTTAAAGCTCAAACTCAGACACACCTGCACGTATGCTTGGTTTTATTAAATATTCATTCATAAATTGTATTAACCCATTGAAAAGTCTGACAGTTAAGAGAAAACAAAGCAAAAATGTGACAATGGCCACATTACAAGAAATTAACAATAAATACTTGTAATAATCAGGAAGAAATTTTTCTATGCATCTATGTCAAACAAGGAAATTTTCTAGTTTACTGTAGAAACCTCTATAATTGATCCAAGTCATCATTTAAAAGATATATAAATACATTTAATAAGTACTCCATTATGGTTTGTGCCTGGTTGTCCCCCCAAAGCCTCATGTGGTCATGAGGGGCTTCCAAAGGCAAATGAATCTAGAGTCTGTGATTGGTTCACTGTCTAATGCTGGGATTGGCAGTGTGAGTGCTGCACCTGCCCTGGAGTGGGTAGCTTGCATAAAGTGTGAGAGGGAAAGAGGCTTGCTTCCCCTTTTGCTCATTGTTTTGTTGTCCTATGCCACCTTAAGTATTGCCCATGTGCTACACTACCCTGCCTTGGAGCCAGCTGATTATGGGCTAAACCCTCCACAAGCTATAAGCTAAGTAAACTTGTACTTGCTTCATTTTGAGTGTTGGGTATTTTGTCTTCAATGAGGGAAAAGTGACCAAGACAATTTGGTAAAGGAAGCGTGGGGTCACTGCTGTAACTGTACCTGACCACACAGTTCAACAGCCTGCGGGAATGGCTTGTGGGAAGAATCTGGAAAGATTTGGACACTGCTTGAAAGAACAGAGCTGGAACACCATAGGCTGCTCTGAATGGGAGATTCTGGTCAGACAGCTGATAGAAATCCTGACAATATAGACCAGGTTTGGAGGCTTTTGCTGGTAAGGATTATACTGATTGTTGGACTCCAGACAATGTACGTTATGGCAAAGTTTGTATTTTATTCCTGTCCAGAGCCTTTGCCTGAGAATAAGATTATAGGTGACAGATTAATTAATCTGGCAGAAGAAATTTTAAGGCAGTCAAAAGTTGAGGCTGTGGTATGGCTATTGTTTTAGCCAGATTTATGTTGTGAATTAAGAGCAAAGAGCTCAGCAGGATAATTTAAAACATTGTGAGTTTGGCAAGAATGGAAGCTCCACTAAGGCTGTTGACTGCAAAGATAGAGCTGAAGAGATCTTAACTGCTGAAAGGAATAAGAAAATATAAAAGATGGCCCGTGGGCATCACAAAAAGCAAGTCTGCACCCTTTGTACCCTCAAAACTGCAAAAGTGAAAGATTGTGCTTTGAGGAGAAAGCTGTAGAGCATCATGTTCCACAATGGTGGCAGCCTATGTTCCAGAATGGCAGCAGCATAAAGAATTTCTTCCTCACAATCAGGTTCAGAGTGCTCAGTGATCCTGGCACTCAAACTTTTGCCAAGAGAGAGGAAAGCCTGGCTACTGCTACAACTGGCAGTGAACCTTGTCATCATCCACATGGCATTGGTTTTAAGTCCATACAGAATGTAAGAATTCTGAGGTTAAGGTAGCTTCTACTCCAATTTCAGAAGACCTTGGGGGCCAAGCAGTATGCTGTGACATCATCTAAGGAAACCTGGAAGGAGGGAACAAAGCCAGCCAAAGAGAAAAGCCATGGGAGCTACTACCACTGGAAGTACCATAGGGGTGGTCGCACAAGCCTTTTGGAGCTCACAAATTTGCCACAGATTGCTACAGATGCTGGATATGGAACTAGAGGACTTCATGTTTGCCCTGCTGGAGTGTGGACTAGCTTTTGTTCCAATCCTTTATATCTTCCTGTTTGTAGTTTTTAGAATGAAAATGTTTATCTTATGCACTGAATGTTGGAAATGTTTGTTTTCATTTATATAGGGGTTTTAAGAGTTTATCTTAAATCTCAGAGGAGACTTTGTATTTGGACTTTCCAGCAATGCTGAAACTGTTCAGACTTTGGCAACTCTTGCAGATGGACTAAATGTCTTTTACATAAAGGGTGTGCATGAGTCTTTGCAGGTGGCAGGGATGGACTGTTATGGTTTGAGTCTGGATGTCCCCCCAAAGCCTCATGCAGTCACAGGAGGCTTTCAAAGGCAGCTGAATCTAGAGTTCATGATTGGTTCATTGTCTAGTTCTAGGATTGCTGGAGTGCTGCACCTGCCTTTGAGTGGGTTGCTTTCATACAATGTAAGGGAGAGAAAGACGCTTGCTTCCCCTTTTTGCCCTTTTTGCTCTTGCTGCCGTGCTGTCTTATGCCCCCTTGAAGTATTGCCCTTATGCCACATTACCCTGCCTTGGAGCCAACTGAATATGGACTGAAACCACCACAAACTGTGAGCTAAATAAACCTTTCTTCATTTTGGGTGTTAAGTATTTTGTCTCAGCAACAAGAGAAAAGTAACCAAGACACAGGTCATATAAATCAAAAAATATTACTATTTTTAGAGTTATTTTAATAAGCAGATCAGGTAGTTCTTCTATAAGCAATAACATACCTTCATATAAACCTGTATGGATATGCAAAAAACCTCTTAAATACACATAGTGGATTTCATAGGTTGAATAAAATAAGAAATAAACTATCTTGTATGTTTTTTACTTATCAAGTATAATACTCTTTTATTATTTTCCTTAGACAAAACAATTCTCAAGCCATGATACAATAGATAGTGGCATCCCAGAAAGTTACGGACTGTATTCACTGGTGAAATAAAACAGCCACTCTTTGCCAGTGGGACATGGAAAGCAGTATACTGGTACAATGTTCTCAATTTTAAGCATATCTCCTATTAAATTTTTCCTAAACCTACAGTTTTGCTATAATTCATATAAACTTTAGTGCAGACATTACCTGATTTTCAATAATTACACAGATAATTCAATTTAGTATGAATTTACAATGTACCAAAAGAACACCATTTCTAGTACCTCTGCTACCTATGATAGTTTGAAAGCTATTACTTATAACTCCAGATTAAGCCCATATATGTATTCACATATTTGTGAATATGTATATCCTAAACACTCTCCAGATATCCAAACGTAGTTATTAAATCCTAATACAGAGATTAAAGAGTGTGTTTACATTTGTAAGACCTAAGCAAGCACCAAATGACATCTATGATAGAAAATGAACCATTAGGAAAATAAATTTAAAATTTTTGAAAGCTTTACTTCTCAACTCATATAGGAAAATAAGTGAATTAGTTATTAGCTTATGTGAATGTAAAAAAAAAAAAAAAAAAAAAAAAAAAAAACAAAAAAACCCCCAGCACATTCAGCATCAATTTAAGTTTGGTAGAAAGATACTACTTGCAAGAAACTGTCTAAACTAAGTGTAGCTAAATAAAGACATATAATGTGTAGATATATGTCTACATTTCAATATATCCAAAGAAGCACTTTTCTTTTGAGAACAAATAATCTCTCAAAGAGGAGCCAATATGCAGACAGAGCTGTAAAAACTGAAAGGAACAGTAAAGCCCAATTCCAGTGACACATCCACAGAAGCAAACAAACATGAAATCCCAAGCCAGTCTTCACAAAATGTTTAGTGGTCTCAGCTCATACTCCTCACAAATGCTGTAGTTTCCAATTAAATTCTATGTCCATGCAGAACTTGTATAATACCAGTTACATTAATTCTCATGAAGTCTTATTGTGACAATCTCAAAGTAAATATTTTAAAAGCTAAAGGCTAGTACTTGGGTATAAATCACTGGTAGAGAATTTTTCCAGCAAGAACAAGATCCTGGGTTCCAGCTGTAACATGCACATGCACAGTCTAGTTCTGTACTGTTTAATATGGTAATACTTAGTTGTATGTAGCTATTTAAATTTAAATCGAATTCAAATATAGTTCCTCACATTGGTCAAGGGCTCAAGGGCCCACATGTGCCTAGTAGCTATAGTTAAACAGTACAAAAAATCATTCTCATTAACACAAGAAGTTCAACTGGACAGTGTTGGTCTAATGATCTCAGTTTGCAGATAAGAGAAACTTACAACTATATAACATCCATGGAATTTACAGACAGTATAACTACTTATCTCACTGGTATGTATTAAATCATCAATAAATATTATTGAGTATTTTCTACAGATAGTACCATAAAAAGTAGAATAGTATAATGGAAGATGCAATATGCTTTCTGTCCTAAAGTACAACCAGATCACCAGGTCAGGCTTGGCAGAACTGATGTGGACAGAGCTGTTTTAATAGATCTAAACTCAACATGGGTCAAAGGGAAGATGCTGCGGCTAAAAACCTAACCCAATCTTATGCTCATTAATGGAAGCATTGTGATTTCAAGCTAGTCACACCATTAATTTTGGAAGACTGTGTTTAATACTGGGTTCTACATTTTTAAATGGTATAATGACAAAACGGAAACAGAGAAGATAGGAAACAGGATAGTAATGAATCTGAAAATTAAGCTTTATAAAGGATGGCTGGGAAATTTGAGCTAATTAACCCAAATAAGAGAAGACTAAACAGACACATGATCATTATCTTCAAATGTGTACAGAGCTGTTAAGTAGAAGAGAGCATAGATTTGTTCCAGAGAGAAGATCTGGATTCTTGAAAGTACAGAAATTGAAAATTTGAAACTCAAAATGAGAACCTTTCAACACCTAATGCTGTTCTAGCAGAACAGTTTGGACAGTTATGAGATTTCCATCACTGAAGCAGAACTTATCAGTGATTCTTAAAAGCGATACTAAAGGCCAAGGATATAGGCTGGAAGCATAAGTGCTTGCCTGACAATTGCAAGGTTCTGAGTTTGACTCCTGGTATTAAAAAAAAAAAAAAAAAAAAAAAGCCATGCTAAAAATAAGATCCATGGGTCCTACTGCTGCAGACTGTAATTCAATGTATTTGGTTGGAGGGTTAGTCACTTAAAACTGCTTTGCTGAATTCTAATACACAGCTAGTTTTAAGAACTATGGTAGATGACCTTTTAATCTTGCAAATATGTACAAGATTCTACATGTAAAGGTATCATTCTAAGCATGGTTTGGGTTTGATTTAATTAAGAAATAGGATTAAAGAATTCCTGAAGTCTTTCTAGTCCCCATTCCCAATTAAAAATAAGCACATAATTGAGTGTCTACTTCCTATCTCATTTATTTAGAAATAATCACATAATTCAGTTAAGAAGTAGAAAAAGAAAAGTAGTTTGAATACAGAAAGAAAAAGAAGAATCAAAAAAAGCAGGACAGGATACTGAACAGAGTGAGGGAAATCATAATCTTCTTTTCTTTTTTAATTTCTTACTTTTCTTCTAATTCTTCCCCCATTCCTGTCTTTCTTACCTTTAAGATAGTCTTGAGACCATATTCATTATGTTTATACCTAATTACAGGTGTAACTGCTAATGATGTACTGTCTCAGGGAGAGGAGAGTGCTCGAGGAGAGTTCAGAGGATCATGCGGTGTGGCTTTTTCTGGATGGTGCTAGGATCTCTGCAGACTTGATATGGATCAGGGAAGACCATGACAGGCAAGTACTTATACAGTTATCAGACACTGAGGAGTTTCAGAAACCTTGATTCAAAGTGTTAATGTAGGCAAGATAAAGAACAATGAGAAGAAAGGAGGCCAGGAGATTTTGCACGATAAATGGCTATTTTTACTGATTTCTAGCAAGGTAATTTGGGCAATTGTTCTAACAGAAAAACCCTCAAATATGTACATTATACCTCGAAAGTTGAAGGCACAGTGGAGATGAAATAAATGTATTATGAATATACTATTTCAGACATTGGTAGTTAAAAGGATAGACATAGGTAACACTTTATGCTTGGGATTATTCTGGCATTTTGAAATAAGTAGATAGCAAGCTGTCTATTCTTACTAAACAAGATTTTTAGAAAGCAGTAAAAGTAAAAATACTGAAATCAAACAAAGGGTAAATACAGTAACATGAAGTAATTAAAATAAAAATATTAAGTATGTCATAACAAAAAGGAACCAGTCTAAGGTTTTTTTTTTTCTTTCTTTTTTTCCAGTTAACAATTCAAATTCATTTAACTTTGCTACTAGGAAGTAATTCTGAGATTCTTTTATTAGGGAAAAAATGCTGTTATACATTTTAGAGGAATTACTTAAAATCACTATTCAAGTCCATTTACTTAATAAATTCAGAATCTTTATGGAACTGCTTTTACTGCAAAGAACGACATTTTGCTATATGCTGCCAAAGGAAAAAGGCAAATAAGAAAGGAATAGAGGAGATAAACATGCAAACCAACAGGATAACAGAAAAGGCACTGTAAATGGAAATAAAAGCAAAAGATCTGTGGGAATCAATTCCTAACCCAGGGACCCCAATAAAATCTTCACAATGAAGGTGAAAGGACTTACCTTTGAAAGTCATGGCATTACTTGAAATTAATTTCTTACAAACACATACTCACCTGCGACTTCAGTCTCTCCCTTTCAGTGGCATCTTTCAGCTGCTGAATTCCAAATTTAATTTTTTTGATTTCTTGATTAATTGTTGTCACTTTCTCAAAGACAGCACCTCTTTTTTCTTGAACTTTATTGCAATCCCTAAAGGAAAACAGACACAGCTAACAAAATTCTTCCTAAGCATCTAAAAAGGTAAACAATTCTAATTTTGATTACAAAGAGACTCACATGTCACTGTGTGTTTGACAAACCTAAAATTTTTCTCAAGATATGAAAGGAAATGAATCAAAACCCCGAAGTATGGTGCTATAATGACATCATGACATCCAGTGAACACTTTCACCCAAGAGCTTTTCTTTAAAATTGAGACTTTTAAGTTTTACTTTCTCAGTTATGCATACTTATATATGGTAGGTGGGAACATGACTCAGTACAATTATTTTGCAAAATCTTTAAGCTTTGCTTTTTCTTCATCTGCATAAGGGTATGTGTTATGGTTGATACACTGTTAATTTGAGAAGATTAGAAGTTTAAGTGACTCGGCAAGAAGCCTGGGTCTTCACTCTGTAAACATCCTGAGCCTGTGCAAGAGAAGGGCACAGAGGTGGTGTGAGTAGACAGTCTGCTTACAATGTAAGGGAGGAAAAGAATCTGGCTTCCCATAATTTTTTTGCTCTTGCTGGTTTTATCTTGTGCCACCTTAAAGTACTGTCCCTGTACCACGCAAGCCTGCCCTGGAGCCAGCTGATTATGCACTGAAACCTCCACAGACTGTGAGCTAAATAAACCTGCCCTTCCTTAAACTTGGATGTTGGGTATTTTGTCTCAGCAATGAAAGAAAAGTAACCAAGACAGTATGTAAAGGAAATAGACAAACTCTGATACCCCTTTCAGGACTGAAGGAATGATATCTCAGACACATCAATGGCACATATTCTAGAAACATACCGTAGCACTCAAGTGGGAAGATTCTACCATGGAAATCCCTACAACACATTGGCTAAAACAAAACATAATGTTTAGCAAATTACTGATGCTTGAATTAAAAAAAAATTTCTTTTCCTCCAAAGAGATGCTACTCAGATAGGTCAACTGATTCATTCTATTGCAACTCTGGACTACTGTCTCTCAATTGCACTGAAATAAGCAGCAGCATCACAATCCTTTGGAAAAATTATACAAAGCAACTGAACTCATGGTACCTAAAAAAGGAAAAAAAAAAAACAAAACCTTAGCAAGTAAAACATCCCTAAACCTAGGCAGAGAATGGTAGGTTTCATAACTCATCTGTTTTCATCACCTAAAGGTGGAATGTCTTCTTGAGAGAATAGTAGTTTAGAAATCTCGAGGGGAAAAATTACTAACTTTTCCTAATTACTTTCTAATACACCCAAATTCAAAATGAGTTCATACTCGATTACTGTTCGCTTGTACTGCTTAACGTCCTCGTGCTTCTTATTTATCTTGAATTGTGCTGTGGCAAGTTTCTCCTTTTTCACAATCACCAGTCTTTTGAATGAATTTTCTTCAGTCTTCAGTTTCTTCAGTTCTGACTCTTCGTTCTCAATTTGGTCCTCTAAGTTCAGGCTCTGAGTTATATGAGAAGTATTTAAAGTCAATACAGCTAATTAGAATTATAAAGAAAATGAAAGTTTGGGCTATAGTAACATACAGTTTTGAAATGGGATACTATTATTGAATCCCTGAAACCCAGGAAAAATCCAGACTGTTCAAACAGATGACAGGAAGACGTCAGGGGTACTGAAAAGACATGAACAAGTTTTATCATGCTATTCGGTCAGCAGGGATAGAACAGATGGACGTATTAAGATCAGCTAAAAGGTGGGCAGGGATAGGGTCTGAACAAAGTTGCTAAGAATAAAGAGAAGAAAGCATCAAAAGCAGATCTCACTCTTTGGCACTTTTGGTGGCATATAAGAAGCCTATGTAATGGGGAGAGAATAACTCCAGTAATCTAATCTTCTGACAATCCCTAATTTTCTCAAAAAAGTTTACCAAAAGTAACTAGTGACGCTGAGGATGATCAAAATTAAAGATGATAAAAAAGTAAAAAAGGATTTTTAAAGTTGTACCCTGAAAAACTCTCACTATATAAGGAAGAATTTGTCATAACTTTAAATCTCTTCATGAATCTTAGGTACACTATTGGGCACTAAATTGGGATTTTATGCTTACTGATTATGTAAGATCATTTCCAACTGTTAAAACAAGTTTTAAAAGTCCTTACTGTTTTCCAAAATATACAAAGCAATGTGCTATGTTAGTTATCATTCATTGGATCTGAAGGCCAAAATTAGTTTTGTTATTACTATGTTTAAAATGAAAAGTGTCTTATTCCTTAGCATTCATTGGCTCATCTATTATACTGTAGAATAATCCTGTTTTTCTTCAGGAAAATAGTAACAAAAAGTGAAAACAAATCCAAAGAACTATTGTAAGTAATTACATAATAAAGACATAAAAATTCTATACAATACAAACCTCCTTTAAGATACTGGTTAATTTTTCCCTATTATCCGCAAGGTCCTGGATTTTCTTTTGATATAATTGCACCTCCTGCTGACAGGAAGGCAGGCAGTCAACCGAGTCTCTATAGATTTCATACTTTTCCATCACTTCTTGCTTTGAAAGAAAAAAAAAATAGAGATCACAGTTTGATACTTTCCTTTATGAAACAGTAATAATGTCAATTTGTTTGCTCTTAAATAATTCCTGCATTTAATACTGAAAGCTAAAGAGCAGAGAACAATTAAGTTTCTAGGGCAGTACAAAGGACTACTACTGACATGTGTCTACTTACATATAATTATGCTTTTTAATTGCCAGATATCCTCAAACAATGAAAAACTGCCATAATTTTACTAACTTACTCACTGAAATACCTTCTAAAGGTTATTCATGATGCTATTAAAAGAATTAATTCTAATTCTCAAACTGCTTCTGATCACACCTAGACACTCACATTATCCATTTATAATCTTCCTGTTCATCTGTATGACATCTATTCTACAATTTTTTCAAAGACTAATTCCTCTTCTAAAATGACAAAGTGAACGTATATTTACTACAACTCTGTAACAGCACAAATACTTCTTCCTTTGTCCCCACTAACTACTTCTTGCCCTCCCTTATTTCCAGTTAGATTTTTCTTCATTGAAAGTCCTGTGATTATTCCTCACTTTTGTTGTATTTTTCCTACTGTTAAACACTCTTAACATATAATGGATATAATCTCTTTATCTGTCATATGTACTATAAATTCTGTTCATTCTGCGGACTTTCTCTTAGTTTTTAGGTTTCCAAAGCTAACTTTAAAAACCTTTCCAAGTTCAAGATAGTATAAATCTTCTAAAATTCTTAAATTTAAATTTCCAATCAATATAAGGATACATTTCTGTAAATGGGGCAAGGTATAGAACCGACTCTTCTACATGAATAGCTAATTCAACTAGAATCGTTTTTAAATAAACCATCATTCCTCATAAACATTCCTAACTATTTCTACCTTGTTGAATTGTCATCATTCCTTTGCCTTCTTTTTTCTTCTTGTTCCAGTACTGCAGATTGAACCCAGGGCCTCACCAAAGCTAGGCAGGCAAGCTACCACCATGCTACATCTCCATCCTTTTTTCATTTTATTGTATTTTGAAACATGTTCTTACTATGTTTCAAAATACAATCTGTCCTGAAATTTGTGATCATCTTGTTTTAGCTTGTTGAATAGCTGGGATTACAGGCATGTGCCATTATGCCTGGCAATTTTTGTCTATTCCTGTGTGATAATTTTAATTACCAGGAATGATCTAGATAACAAGCTCAGATATACATTAGAAAAGTAGCTTAACAGCTGAAAAATACTGCCTCAAAAGGAGTGCTAAATTGTCCACATTTAATTTTGTCCCTTCTCTCTCAGGTTATCTCCCACACTAACTCATGACCTTGAGTGTATCTTCTTCCCTCTAACCTTATGCTACTTATTAACATATGCTGCTTATTTTGTTTTAAATATTCTTGATGTATGATTTAATAGGACAACTTGCTCATTTTTCAATGTTAGCTCAAATTTCCACTGTCTTCCCTCTTTCATCAGTTTCTTGAAATACTAAATCAGATTCCCCCATTACATTATGTGAAAGCATCCTATGCTTTTTCTTTTTGAAATTACTTTTAAGATAGGTTTTCATTTTTAAAACACAATAAAATTGATCAGAAGTTAGATTTCTCATATATCTCCTGCTTCCAAATACTATACACATCCTATTTTCTTTCATAATATGTATTGATTTATAATTATATATTTATAAAATTACTTAATACCTTTCTTTTTTAATGAAATACCTGAATCTCTTGACAACAAAGCAGTTCTGCTTATGTCACTAAGAGCAAAGTCTCTAATGGACATAACTGAACAAATATCTTACAACTATAATTCTTTATCCTACCTAAAAAAGAGCTACAAAGTAGAGACAGATTCAAAAATTAAATGAAGAGAGAGAAATACAGATAACTCAGAAGTAAGAAAATTATCAATTGACCAAACAAAAATTTGCTAAAAAGAAAGAAAAAAGCATTAAAATAAAAAAGAAACTCACCCTGGAATGTTTAAGCTTCTGCACTGTGTCTTTCATTTTTTCTTTATAATTCTTTACCTTCTCTGGAGAATCCACAATTTTTGTCTTTAAATTATCTTGTACTTCTTTCAGTGTAACCACTGACAATTTTAGTTCATTCTGTTAAAAACATTTTTATGTAATAGATAAGAAAATAACAGCATTTCAATAATTGAAATGAAAAAAAATTAAGTTCAAGTTTGCAGAGAGTAAGTGAAGGGGAGATATGAAACTGACCACAGCACTTACTGCTCTCTACAGGGCAAAGGTCAAGCTCATACAGCTGACAATCAAGGCCTAAGTTTCTGTGATCAGTACAGTCCTCCTAGCATATCACATCATCCCGCCCCTGCCTGCAAGCTGCACTTCTAACGATCCTTGAGAATACTACGCCTGTTTCCTCTACATTCCCTTCTTCCATTAACAGTACAACTACTATATGTGCACTACTGTAATTACACATTTAATGTGATTCCAAATAAATTGAACAACCTAAAGTTGTGAAGTTTCCCTTGTTCTCTGAGTACCCAAACAAAGTAACAGCACTGAGAAACTGCTCAGTACTTGTCTGCTGAATCAAAACAGATTTCTCTGTTCTTCTGACCTTTAAAAGTGAATGAAACTTACTAGATGAAAACGGCAAACACTTGGAAGACATTGGAATGGGAAAGGACTTTTTGGATATGACCCAAAAAGCACAGGAAACAAAAGCTGAAATCAGGCAAAAGACTTAAAAGAAAATACATGCAAACTATATTTGACAAGGGATTAAAATTCAGAATACAGAAGGACACTGTAAAACTCTATAGAAAATAAAAGTCACCCAACTAAAAGATGGACAAATAGACTTAAATCAACTTTTCTCAAAAGACATACAAATGGCCAAGAAGCATATGAAAAAAAGCTAAATATCACCAATCCTCTGGATAATGCAAACACAAAATCACAATGACATGCCACCTCACTCCAGTAAGATAAGCAATTATCAAAATGAGAGCAGATAAATGCAGGGTATGGGAAAACGGAGTCCTCCTTGGCTTCCTCTGTGAGCACAAAGGAGAAAGGAAGCAGGCTGTGCTGCTTTGCAACATGCCGGGTGATAGCATGCTGGTTCTAAGGAAACGCTAATACAGCTGGGATCAGGTTGTTCACCTGGGCATGTGCTAATGGATATGGGAAGACAAATGAATCTTGTGTCTAATTGTTTGTACATGTTTTAGTGAATAAAAGAAGTATGAGTCACACGATTAGGGCTCCTCTGCCTACTAGAAGAAAGAGGACCCTGGCTGCCTGCATATTAAACTGACTGTGTCTGTTTGTTTTTCACCCTTGTATACCTCCCAGATCATGGTCACAAACTAGCAGGACTAGGTCCCCGCAAGTGGTACCTTGGGTAGGGAAAGACTGGAGCTGGCTCATTCCTCATGGGTCGTGCCTAGGGCAGGGACCTGGGACTGGCGGGGCAGGCCAGTTCGCTACACAGGAGAATGTGGAGAAAAGGGAACCACTGCACAGTGTTGGTGGGAATGTCAAACAGTATAGCCATTATTGAAAACAGTACAGATGTTTCTAAAAAATTAAAAATAGGACTACCATATGATCCAGCAATCAGATGACTGCATACATATCCAAAGGATATAAAATTAGAATTATGAAGAGGCATCTGAATGCCCATGTTTATTGGAACTTTATGTACAAGAGCCAAGAAATAAAAAAGTGACTATCACCTGATGAATGGATAAGAAAATATACAATGCACTATTATTTAACAAAAAAAAAACCAAATGAAATCCTGTCATTTCTGACAACATGGATATTAATAAAGCTAAAATAAAATAAGCTAGGCCCAGAAGGAAAAATATTGCATGATTTAACTCATGTGGAATAGCGTTTGGTAGAAGAATGGTGGTCACCAGAGGCTGGGGAGGGAGAGGGGACGAGGACTAGGAAAGGTTGATCAATACATACTAAATCACAGCTAGGAGCAAGAAGGGCTGCTGTGCTATAGCACAGTAGGCTAATTACATATAACAATTATGTATTGTATACTTCAAAAGTTAGGAGGTTCCTGAATTTTTACCATGAATAAATGATAAATGTTTTGGATAGGTCTAACCTGATTTGTAAATGTATGCATGTATCAGAACATTACATCGTATATCAGTAAAATGTACATTTTTTTTGTTTATGTATCAGTTAATAAAGTTAAAAAAAAAGACACTACATGCAGTAGAGCACACTGTTGTTCTACCTATCCAAGAGGCGGAGGTAGGATGACTAATTGAGCCAAATAATTCAAGGCCAACCTTTAACAATACAATGAAATCTTGTTTCTTAAAAAAAAAAATTGTAGGGGGGGGGTCATCTTAGAGAATTAAAGGTAAGAATAACCACAAATTTTCTTAAAATCTTGCTAAGTTTGAAATCACATTTAAAAAACTTGACATACATCTCTTTCCCAAATACTTGTTGATATGATTCATTGTTTTCAGACACTATCACTCTATATACTAACATAGAAGATTTCTTAGAAATATTAAGGAACTAATTCACAGACCAATGTATAATGCAAACACATTTGTATGAAAGCAACACAAACACATTTTTACAAAAACACGTCAAAGCAGCGTCATATGACTATATGCATTGTGTGTATGCACAAATGCCATGGAAAAAGAAGAATGTCACTTTGAGGTGAGGTGGCTGGGAAAGGAGGCCTTTCATACATACTTGATGGCTGTCTCTGCATCCTTATCTCTGTGTGTGTGTGTATGCGTGTATAATTTATTTATGACAGGAATGGATTAGTGCATGGTTGGTATAATTTGTTTAAATTTTTTAGCTTTAAAAAGAAGGTAGTTCTTACCTTTTGATCAGTTAATTAAATATTTGAAATAAGGCAATTCTGTTATTTTCATGGAGTCTGTTACTTTATTCTTAGAATTCAGCAAATCACATTACCTACTCTCTTTTAATATTCTACAAAATTAGAGGTCATTTTCCTTATAGTAGTACAGACTTTCATCACATTTCTTTCTTAAAAAGCTTAAACTTGCTATTATAGTCATTTCTTAAACCTTATTTTAAACAGAGCAGAAAAAAGTGACTAATCCGTCCGGCATTACTCAGATGAAAGTATTTGCTAGTAAAAAGAATGAGAGAAAAAATGAGGGATAGTTAATATCTAAGTAAATTTCAAATTCAAATATTTAGTACATACCACACATTGACTCTTGGTAAACTGACTGCTTTGTCCATATGCATGTTAGGATTTTCATGGTGTCTCAATAAATTTACTATTAAAGTATTTATATAATTTTTTCTTTTCCTGAAATATGTAAACTTTTTTTGGAGGGGGTAGACTATATATCAAACTGCAATGGTTATCTTTTAGGTAATTTTTATTTTCTCTATAAATTTTTGTGTCTTGCTGTTTTTAAAACCTGTTTTTAAAAACTGTGATGTATTTAAACTGAAAACAGTTAAAATGGTTTGATTTCAAAGGTAAAAAGATTGACTGTCTTAATACACAGCTAAAATAATCCTCCACACAGTATAGCCCAACTTTAAATGCTAACTAACAGAAAAGATGCTTACCAAACGCTTAGTTTTCTCTGAAATATCTGATTTCTTTTGGGAATTTCCCTCTTGCAGAACTATCTAAAGGAAAAAGTAAACAAATGTTTTAAAATGGTTCAAAGGTTAGTCACTTACTATTTTCTCATAAAATAAAGGTAAGAAAGAAGAGTTAAGTGAGTTAGATCAGATATTCTCAAATTGTTCATGATGTTCCTAGACCAAAATAAATATATAGGATTTTTTTTATTAAGTAGTTAAGTCCAAAACAACTGCATTCTGCCCTCATAATGTTGTAACCCTTTGATAAAATATTATGAGACAAAAGAAAAGTTTTAGTGAATTATTAAACAACCACAACTATTTACTAATTAGCTATGTGTATCTACTGGGTACTGTATACATTCATATATCTTGTAATCAGATGGGACAGAAATTCTCATTTTCTCCTATAATGATTTTCACATGGCACTTACTTTTTTTGTCACAGCCTCAGCTTTGCAAAGATACAAAGTGAAAGTAAAATGATCTAACATGAAAATTGTGAACTCTTTGAGTTAATGTTTCAGGAAGCAGGGCTGGGGATTTAGCTTAGCGGCATAAGCACCTGCCTTGCAAGCAGGCAGTCGTGAGTTCGATCCCCGGTACCGATAAAAATGAAAAAGACAAAAAAAAAAAAGAGTTATCTTTGGGCTGGGGATTTAGCTCAGTGGCATAAGCGCCTGCTTTGCAAGTGGGCAGTCATGAGTTCAACCCTCGGTACCGATAAAAATGAAAAAGAGAGAGAGAAAAAAAAAACAAACTATATAATGTTTCAGGAAGCACGGTATCTAACAGAGGCTGAGACTATTATTTCTCTTGAATTTTACAAAATCCTGAGGCACCACTAAAGGTCTGATGTAGCGTCTAAGAAAGCGTAGAGCAATGAACCCTAAAAGTCTATTCATCCAGACTGCACAGAACTTTGGCAACAAAAACCAACCATCATAATTGTACATGGTTGAGAGGAGATATACTCATTAGGGAAGATACATTCAAAATAAGGACACAAATAGGTATAATTTTATCTTTGATACCTGAAAGATATATGCTCATGCCCACTACATGCCCCTATATAGCTGCAATGTCATTTTAAATTCTAACATGTTTTATGATACCGTTTTTTGACGAAACTCCTGATTTAGTGATTGTTGCAGCTCCTGAATATCATCTGTAAGTTGCTTGAACTCTTCTTGCTCTTCAACAGGAACAGAACTAAACAAAACAAATCAGATTAAAGTAACATTTTAACATTATTCCTGACTTTGAAAGACCAAAATAAAATCTCTGCCATCAAATAATTTTGAGGAGCTCCTAATTTCTTATTTCTAGATTTTACACTTTGGTATGAAGGCCATTTAAAATAGATAACCAAGTCTCTGTTAAGAAAGGAACTAAAATCCATGTGAGAGTCTTTAGTTTTCAACCATTAACTCTATGCATTCAGCCCTGCCCATATCAACCCTATCTAACTGTACTCTGAATACAATGAACTCTTTGGTTCTTAGTTCTTACTCACGTGTCACAGATTTCCTTGCTTCTTAGCTCTTACTCATACATCATGTATTATTCTGTTCTACTGATCCGTCCTAATCGCACATATACATGTCTAATATGAATTTCTTTCATATGCATGCTCTAATTTTTGTCTCCCTGATACATTAGCTATCTGTTGTTATTGGTTTGTAAATCATTTGAGGCTTTGCTCATATTTCTAGTAAGTTTCCTCTCTTCCTTTCAGTTTGTAGGCATTCTGCGTATGTTAGGAATACTACATGGGTTTTATTATTAAGAGTTGGTGAAAGTTTGTACCTTTTACTGCAAATATACTCTCATAGCTTGTTACTTTTTAACCTGGTTTATAACAGTGTCTTTTACCATGCTAAATTTTAGTATGTGCCTCTATCTCCATTTTTTTCAGCTTCTTGTTAACTGCAAAAGCAATTTTTATCAGACACAAGTCAGAGAAGCTCCCACCTGCAAGAAGTAACCTCAACAATACCAACAAAAGTCACTAGAGATGATCTTCACTTTAAGATGGTCTCACTTAATGAATTTTCAACTTTACAGTAATGCAAAAACAATTGTACTTCATAATTTGAATTTTAATCTTTTCCTATGCTAGTGATAGGTGGTGACACTGGACATCTAGCTCTAGCTCCGAATAATCCAGGAAATCATGAAGATAAACAACTTTTCCCTACAGTACAGTGTGTGACTAAGCTATGTTGTTCAGTAGACATATTCAGCTTAAGACGGATTCATCAAGACACAATTCCATTGTAACTTAAAGAGCTTCTATATATTTAAGGAAGGCCAAAACATCAAACACCTGAATGATAACTTTTGAGATCAAAAGAGAACACTGTTGAGAAGAGTAAACATTTTTAACAAGATTAACTATCTGAAGGAACAAAGAGTCCAGAGTGTTACTCATCTAAATAAGATAAATACTGCAGATACAAATTAGGCAACTAAGTTAATGTCTTCAAACAAATCAGGTTAACACAGTAATGAGAATGAAGCCACAGATCACACAATTAAGACATAGATATAAGAACTTGTTTTTCTCCTTCTAGAAAAGACAATCAGATATTCTGTCACGTATTAAGAGAAAACAGAGACATGGTAGATTGTAGGGATTTAATATACTGTCAATATTTCACTTTGCATTTTAAAATTGCATTTATTTGTAAATCCCCTACTTACTCAAGTTTCTCCAATTTCATTAATGCCTCCTGGTGTGCAGTGTTTAGCTGCTGCATTTTGTCCACAGAGGATTTCTATTAAAGCAATTTTAATAATCTCATATTAGCACTTTTCAACATGAACAAAGATAATTTTTTTTTTTAAATAGCAGACTCCAAAATGTTTACTCATCCTACAATTTTCATTATCAGAAGAAATTTAAGTAGCAGTGACATTTAAGTTAAAAATTTCTTTACTTAACAAAAATGTTTAGTCCTTACCATACAGCCACTGTGCTAGGTTCTGTAGTCCAAAAGGATTGCAAATAGTTAAGTACTTTCTGTCTCTTTGAATAGTGAGATATGAATTAAAAAACCCCTACAACTTGTTATAATACTGATAAGGGAATAAAGAATAGTGACAGTTAAACCAACTGGGGAAAAAGCTGGAAAGGGTGACCATAGAAGGCTTCATGAGATGCAGCATAACTAAACTATGCCTTGAAGAATGAGAAATCAGTGGACTTATATCTAGAACATACAAAGAACAGAAAAAATCAGATCCCCCCAATTCAAAGACCCAATCCAAAAATGGACATCTGAGATGATTATGTACTTCTCAAATGAAGAAATACAAATGGCAAATATAGATGAAAAAAATTTCAACATCAATGGTTATTAAAGAAATGTAAATTAAAACAACTCTGACATTCCATTTCACCCCAGAGAAAATAGCTATTTTTAAGAAATCAACTAATAACAAGTGTTGGAGGGGCTCTAGAGAAAAAGGAACCCACCTCTACAGTTGGTGAGAGTGTAGACTGATGCAACCACTGTGGAAATCAGTGTGGAGATTTCTCAAAAAGCTAGAATTAGAGGTCCCATTTAACCCAGCTATTCCTTTCTGGGTATCTTCCCAGAATTAAAAATATACTATAGTAATATATGTGTACCCATGTTTATAGCAGCACAATTTGTAATAGTTAAATTTTGGAAACAACCCCAAATGCTCATCAACCAAAGGATGAACAAAAAAAGATGGGGATTTTTATACAATAGATGGCAACTCAGCCATAAAAAGATAAGCTCGAAGACTTTTATGGGTAAATGCATGCAACTTGAGACCATATTCATAAGTGAAATAAATCAGACTCACATATGTAAACATCATATTGTCTCTCTAGTGTGAGAAACTGAAGGAATAAATAAGGTCTAAAATGTACAACAGATACTGTGAAATAGGAATTGTTCAAAAGGAAAAAGGATCTAAGATGAGAGGAAAAGGAAAAGGATGAAAGGGAAAAAGGAAAAAAAAAAAGAAAGTCATACTATTAGTGTCTCTCAGATCCCAGAAAAGGAGGTTTGTGCTAGTACCCACTGGAGAAAATTTAAATGCCTATATCTTGTACTCTGAATAACTATTATAAAGATAACAATATGTAATGTATTAACTGTTATTATTTATTTTGTTATGGAATTTTGTTTTACCTTTTTCCATTTAAAAAAAATGAGAAATCATTAGCCAAACAAAATTATGTGAATGCATGTGTGTTGGCATAAGTATGTGTAATCTTTACAAACAGTTTATGATGCTCAACAAGTATAAACTTGGCATGACTTGTGTAACAAAGTACTTAACACAATTCAGTGTAGCTGGAGCCTCAGGGCAAATTGTCTGACTTTAATTGTAGCTTCTAAGACTAAGTATACAAAAACAAGGACAACTGAAAACAAATCATACAAATGACCCATAATCTTCCTAAATTCTCTAAACTGCTGAAGGACGAAAAATGAGTTTCTATGTGTTATAGTGATTCCCTTGCACTGAATCATATAATTCAATACCGGGTAACAAAAGGTAACAGCACAATTAGACCATTAATTAAAAGGCCAACATTAACCTCAAATATCTCAGTTACTTAAAGAACTCTACACTATCTACAAATTCTTCAGAGAAAAAAATGTAAATTTTGGTATCGATGTTCTCTTTTCTGACATTTCCTAATATAGAAAAAAAAAAAGCCTCAGCTACAGGATTAAAAGAAAAACCCAGTCCCTTACTATTAACAGAAAATATTCTTTTGAAATACAGTGTTATCTTGGTTCACAAACTTAATTCTTTCCAAATGCTGGTCACAAATCAAAACCAACAAGAACCAAATCAAATTTAGTGGTTAGGTTCAATGTTAACCTTATGAGGAAATTTCATTTGGTTCTCATTCAGTTCAGTTTGTGACAAAGAACTGTAGAAAGAACTAAGTTTGTGAACCAAGGTACCACTGTATGGTTTCTACTAACTACAGTCTGAAACTTTATATGAATAGTAAACCAAATTTAATTCTAAATGCCATGTAGCAATTGGATTAATAGTTCATAAATAATGTTAATGATCTTATATGTGACACATAAACGTATTTAAATCTTACATATTGCCAAAGAAATTCCATATATGTCTCACGGCATGCTTCTCTGAAGTGAATAAAGTTGATAATTCCACTTAAAAATCGACTTGTCCGTTTTGCTTCTAAAACAGAAAGCAAGACTGAATTAAACCTTTGAAACAAAGTAATATAAAAAACAGAATTCATCCTTTCCCATATTATTTTGTTCACATTATATAAAGCCTATACTCAATAACAAAGTGTACGGCATCTGTTTTAAGGTAAAAATCAAGGTTATCTTTGTATTACTAACAAACAAAAACAGATAAACAACTTTTGGACACAATTGCAGGGACCAGATTGACTCTCTTATCCTTAACAACTAAAAAAACAGACAAAATGTATGAAGCAAGAAACTTTTAACACTAGATCACAGTCAATACAATAGCAATCCCCAAAAGAATCAAATGAGAGAAAGTACCAATGTACCACCCCACAACCTGGGAGACTTTTCAGGTTGTTGTTCAGCCAAGGAGAACACAAACAGAATTCTTAGTTCTTACTGAGTTCAGAAGATACAGTTTAGAGTTTGGATATGCCAAAGCAACCAGAATTTATGAGCCTGAATACTTCAGAGGAGCAAACTATAAGGAATAAGAGTTTTAGAGATCTGTAGAAGAGTACACATAAGTTCTCCACTGATAAGTCATCAGCATATGAGTATGAAGGAACTACTAGTATTTAAAAATAACCAGAAATATTTAAAACATTAAAAAAACCCACCACACAACAGTATAAAATTTGTAACATTTAGCATCCAACAAAAATAACCAGGCATATGAAGAAACAAGATAATATGCATAATAAGAAAAAAATCAAAAGAAACATAGCCAGAAATAAGAGATGCAGCTTTAGTAGCATGTAAAAATAGCCTTTATTCTATTTTAGGTGTTCAAGAAGAGAAAGAAAAACATTAGGACTATGAAGGCAAAAAGAAAGGTTCTTAAAAAGATGTGAATCGAATTTTTAGGGTTGAAAAATATCTGAAATAAAAATTATACTGTATCACCAGGTGTGGTGGCTCACACCTGTAATCCCAGCCCTCAGGAGGCTGAGGCAGGAGGATCATTGCGAGTTTGAGACCAGCCTGGGCTACAAAGTAAGCTCAAGGCCAGCCTGAACTGCATAGCGAGACCCTGTCTCAAAAAAACAAAAAACAAAAACAAAACACTTTACTGCATGGTATTAACATAGGTTGGATATAAAGAAGAAAGTACTGGCGAAATTGAATACAGTAATAGAAGATACCTAAAATAAAGGCCAGAAAGAAAAAAGAAATGAATGAAACATCTTTAACTAGAAAAACAAAACAAGCAATAGAACAAGTATGTAAGTGAAGTTCTGCTAAGAGGAGGAACAGGATAAACTTACAGACTAGAACTGCTCAAAAATTACAAAATCTATAAATATGTACAAGACGATGAACAAATCTAAACAGGAAAAACCAAACCAAACAACATACCCAACACAAACTCTTCAAGCACATAATATTAAAATTACTGGAAACCCATGATAAAGAGAAAACCTTAAAAGCAGTCAGCATAAAACAAAGCAAAACCACATCTCATAGAACAAAGATAAGACTAGCAACAGACTTTCTCATCAAAAATAACGCAAGCCAAGAGACAATGGAACATATCTTTAAAGCACCGAAAACACTTTGATTCCACACTCAAAACTGTCAAAAGTGGAAATGAAACAAAGGCTTTTATCAGCTATACAAAAAATAGTAGATGAAATCCTCCAAGTGGAACGAAAAATTATTTCATATAAGAATTAGATGTGCTTCATAGAAAGTAGGTTAATGTAGGTTATTTTTTCCTCTTTTGAAAAATATATTTAAAAGACAATGAACTCTTTGAAGCAAATTTAACAACAATATCAAGGTATTTATGATCTCTACAGGAGTAAAATTATAGCACAGTAACACAAAGACCAGGAGTGGTCAAAACATATTCTTGTAAAATATAATGTATCTGAAGACAGATAATGATATGCAAACCATACACACTAAACTGCATAGCAAATACTAAAAATAAATACATTGAAATATACCAAAGAAGAACATAAGAAGAATAGGAATAAAAGGACAAGCAGAATATAAAATGAATAGAAGTAAATTTAAACATCATATTAATAAGTGTAAATACAGTACATTTTCCAATCAAAAGACTGAAAGGATAAATTAAAAAAGCAAGACCTAACTACATGCTGTCAGTAAGAAATTCATTGCAAATACAAAGACAGATGTAAGTTTAAAGAAAAGAATGGATAAAAGTATGATATAAAAATATGTAATACAACTGAAAAGAAAACTGGAACGGCTATATTAAGATGAAATAAAATATATTTCAGAGCACAGAATGTTCGATGTAACGAACATAATTCTAAAGTATAGGCTTCCAAAACTAAGAAACAAAGAAAAAATAAATAAAAGCCAAAACAGACAAATCTACAATCATAGGTAAAGATTATATCTATTAATAGTTCAATGGAATAATTAGAAGAAAATCTCTATGGACCTACAAAGCTTGACTACTATTAAGCAACTGGATCAAAATGTTTAGAGGCCCACATCCAACCACAGCATACATACTTTCTGGTGTACACATACCACTAACAAAGGTAGACCATGTGGTGACAGCACCCAAAGATGCATAGATTCTGATCTTTAGAACCTGTGCATGTTATCATTTATAGAAAAGTGGCCTTAGAGTTATGCAGACATAATTAAAGATCTTGAAGCCACGAGTCAAGATGTGCAAGAAATGTGGCATTATAAGATAGAAAAGGCAAGCGAAGGGTTCCTCAAGCACCTTTTGAGAAAGTACACCTAACAACACCTTAGATAAAGCGCAGTGCAACCAACTTTGAATTTCTCACTTCTACCAGCAATAAATATATGTTACCCTAAGCTAACAAGTTTGTGACACTTTATTATAGTCAGCAGAGTAAAGAAATACAGACCATTTTGGGCTATAAGTCTGAATAAATTTTATTTAAGTGATACAAAGTCCATTCCCTGGTCACAAAGTAACAGAAAGACTGCTGGAAAATCCCCAGATGTTTTGGAAAGTAGACAATATAGTTATAACGACAATGAAAAGGAAGTCAAAAGGAAAAGTAGAAAATACTTTGAATTGAATGAAATGAAAACACAACCTATCAAGCCTTATAACTTGCAGCTAAAACAGAGCTTGAAAAAAATTTACACTAAATCTTTATTTAAGGAAAGAAGGGTTGCAAATTATTGGCTTCAGCTTGTACAAAAAACAAAACAAAACAAAAAAAAAAGAAAACAAATAATAAAAAAAACTCATGGAAAGAAAAGCTAAAATCCAAAGTAAACATGAGGAAATACCAGAATGTTCACAGCACCTTTGTCCATAATGGACCAACATTAGAAAAAAGTCAAATAGCTATTGTTGGTCAGAAAATTTAAAAAAAGTTGTACTATATACTTACAAGAGAATATATCAAGTTAAAAAGAAACAAAGAACTAATAAATGCAATGAATGTCAATAAGTTTCAAAAGCATTACCCTTAAAAAGGGTGGACACAAGTGTACAGACTGCATGATTTCATTTATATGAAACTGCAGAAAGTCAAAATTATGGTGACAGAAGACATACCAGTGGTTGCCAAGTAATGAGAGCAGCCAAAGGAGGCTGACAGCAAAGGGAAAGGAAGGAACTTCTGCTGTTCAGGAAAACGCTCTATAGGTGATTACAGAGGTGCTTACACAATATACATTTGTTAAAAATTGTCCAACTTACATTTCAAATTCGTGTATTTTACTGTACGTAAATTATATTTCAATAAACAATGAAGAGATCCAAAGGAGGATGAAAAACAAAGTTTAAAATAACACACCAAATTTCTCAAAATAACAGATAAATATTAAGAGTCAAATGGATTAAGGGACATGCAAGTAAAGGTAGGAGAATTTTACATATTATTAGTGACAAAACATAATTTTTTCATAGCAAAAAAATAACTGTTAATTTGGTAAAACTAAGATTAATACATTATGCAATATCAAATTTGCATATTATTTGTATTCCCAAATTTTAGAAAATATTTTTTAAGATTCAAAAATTTAATCAAAAATTTTTGTGATCTACACAGAAAACCAATTCCAGTACTAGGATATGTAAAAATTTGTTATTAAGGATGGGATATGTTTTTTAAAAGCCATTTCCTTATTACTTTTATACTAATTAATGGAAAGGTAAACTGGTAGATTGAATATAGAAATTAAAAATTTTTTTAATTCTCACTTACTTGGATACAGGATATCAGCAATCTCAAAGTCGTTCACCCGGCAGATGGGCAGGAATGAATCTCTTGAATATAAACATTGAAAAGTATATTCCGAATTACACAAAAAGCCATAAGGATATAAACATTTCATTTCCAAATAGATTTCTTGGGTGTATATCTCAATGTTAAAGGACAAGTCAGAAGTCTACTACACAACACAATCTTTTTTGTGTGTGTGTGTGTGTGTGTGTGTTTTTGAGACAGAGTCTCCCTATGTAGTTCAGGCTGGCATTGAGCTCACTTTGTAGCCCAGGCTCGTCTTGAACTCACAATGATCCTACGGCCTCAGCTTCCTAAGTGCTGGGACTGCAGGTGTGCACCACCATACATGACTTACAAAGCATAATCTTAAAGCATTAAAATCTACTTTTTCTGTATATTGTGTAAGTGTTCATGAAATACTAAGGTACAGTTATAGCTATTAACAAATAATATTCTCTGGAAGGAACTAAGACTTTCTAAGAACTCAAACTCCTACATATAGCTAGTAAACTATTTTAGATTTATACCATCTTAGAATGTCAAAGGAAAGTATTCTGTGTCCTAGGAGGCAATCCTGTTTGGTACAACTTACTATTTTGAATATTTGTGGTATGGAGTACAGAACAAGATGACAGAACTCCTTCGCAAAGAAAATCATATCATTAAAGAGGTTTAATGTAAATATGAATGCATACAAAAAATGATAAATCTACTCACAGATGAATAAATAAATTGCTGACAGGTAAAAAGCCCTCCATTATATGTGGATACATGACTTCTGAGTTAACTGGCATCTAAACACAGTCACAAAATGAAAGTTACACAATGACTAGACAAAATGAGAAAAATCTTCAATCATAAAATTTTAATTATAGTTAACCTCAAACTATATTAACTTATTAAATTTGAAAAAAACAGCTCTTGGAACAAAATCAGAGTTCGTATTAATATCAGTAATGTCAGGTTCACAAGTGCTTAATAAATCTTTAAATAAATGAAAAACTGAAAAGGTAATTGTGAGCATTTACTAAACGGCAGGTACTATATCAGACATTTTACATACATTCTCGTTTAATTTTTCCAACTTTCTAGTGCTATCTTTATTTTATAAACAAAGAAACTAAAACTTAGCAAGGTTTCATAGTCACTAGGTGGCAAACTCTTTGAGTTTTAAATAATATGCCGCCAGCCTAATGAGATATAACATTCTCAAAACATCTTCAGAGGATGCCTTCATGATTTCACAGCAAAAAGAGATTAAGAAACATATCTTTCCAACTAGAAGTATCTGATTTGCTAAAAGCTCAGTTGTTTATTTGAATCGTTCCACTATTATTGCATATCTTTTAATCCAGGAATCCTTCCTAAGAAGAGAACAATATCTGCAAAGACTTCGCAGTTGTTTAATACAGTCTCTGAAGATAGATCTATAAATCTATGAACAATTCCACAACATTGATAATTTGTGTCATTTAGGTCTTTTACTATAGTTTTCACCTTACTAAAGCTATCCACGTAAGTCATTATTATGTCTAAGATTCCTGTGCATTGACATTAATTTCATACAAATCTTTGAATTTGTTAAAGATAAGTCCTTCTCATCCAAAAGACAGTACATATTGTAAGCAAAACAACTGGAACAAACAAACAAACAAATAAAAAAAACCCAAAACATTATTTTGCCTCAGTAAACTCACCATGTAAAAATGCTCCAGTCGAATTCCATATACGATTTGTAAGGCTCTCATGTAAATCATGTGCAATATTTCAGGCTAATATAGAAAAACAACTTTTAGTATTCTCATGCATGATTATAATGATGCATTTCTCATCATCATCCAACAGTCAATGAATGCAAGGAAGGAAAGGACAACAAAAGTACTCTATTCCCCTTGACATACTTCAAAATTTTTCCAAATTTTAAAACACCCAATAATACTTACAATTTGTTCATATGTAATAAATGGTAAAGATGAGTTACTTAACAAGTTGCAAGCAAGTATTTCCAAATTAAATCCAAGTAACCTCACTCATGTTATCCAAAAGAAGTAGTCTTTCAAAACAGGCTGTCAGGTATGTGGCAGAAATGTTGGAACACTGAGGATGTATTTTTAAAAACTGCAAGAAACTTGTTTATTGCCTTGATATTAAGGTTTTCTTAGATTTAAACTTCAAGAAAACACTTAGGATAAGGGATATAAATGTAATAGGGCAGTAAGTATTTTTAAAATCTTCTAAATCAATAGTTTACAATTGCTGGCCCGCAAACATATTCTAATCTATACACCGTACAAGTTTATTGAATGAGCAAAAAAGTGACATGGACAGAAAATGCAGGAATCTTTTCCTAAAATAAAATGTACTTAAAGGCCTAGAAATTACTTTACTCTCCCATCTTGAAGAGTTAAAAAATACTAAAATCAAAACGTTTTAGTTCTTCATCATAAAAATCAAGTTTTCCTGTATTATCATTTCAAGACTAACATGGTGTTACGGGTTAAGAACTGTGGTCAACTTAATGCCAGCTGGACTACATCAGCATGCATTGAGCAAAGTTGCTCCACCTGAGGAGGGTTGCCAGGATAAATAGGTAGAGAAGAAGGGAGGTGGGGAGGGTTGAGGCATTAAGGAGGCATTGTGGGTTCTCCTACAAGTTGCTGTCTGAGCTGTTGGTTCTCTTGGAGAAGCTTTGGTCCTCACTTTGAGCATTGCTTCCTGGCTCCAGAGGGGAAGACATGTGCCACTTGGTCTCCAGGATGAACTCGTTATGCTGCTTCCTGGCATGTACCCGACTGTGCTTGTCGTCGGAGGAACTCGGGGCCTCCGTGTCGCTGAGGACAGCTGTGGTGCCTTTCAGGATAGCTCTGTTCTTTGTTGTCAGTGTGACTTCTCGGCTCCAGCGTAGAACCCTCATCCCACTAGCACAGCTCCTTCATCCTGATGGCATAGACTTTCTGGCTTCCACCGCTGACCTTTGGGTCCTCCCGGCACAGATTCATAAAAGAGACTGGTCTGAGTCCTTCTTGTGGGCTCTGGACCTCCAGTTGGCCTCGTGGGACGCATTGTCCTGAGCTCTGGGTTTTTATCTGGACTCATGTGGGACATTGCCGTGGGGTTTAGGTACTTGACTAAATAATCTACGTCTTTGGTGTTGTGGATAGATTTCCTGCATTTTCTTGTGTTAACTCCCGGTGACCATTATAAAAATATTATAAACTCCATGTCCTGATCTGAATTGTTCTCTGTGTAACCCCTGACTACAACACATGAGAAACTGAAAGGCAACTTGGAGGTTTTCTGTGACACATAAATAGTTCATTTTTGCATTTAATAACTAAATGCATAAAAAATAACACCTGTCAAAGCAAGGCAATTCCCTTCTGGGCATAACCCAAGAAAATTACTCTCTAAGCTCCCTAAGAGGCTTGTTTCTAAGCATTTTTTGTGGTTGCAAACCAGTGGAATAAGTTCCACCAAGTTCTACCAATAAATGGTACTCTCATACCACCACTCCAATAATAATACAAAATTTAATATATTGTAACACAGCTAAAAGCATTTAAAAAAAATCAGCACTGTTGAATAACTGAATTCCTAATGGGAATGTTGACGTTGCCCAACATATAAACCAAACATTATTTTAAAATTACACTAGGTGAGAGATTTTTCTCTAGATTAAAAATGACTGACCTATATTAAATAGGAAGCTATCTGTCTTCCTTGCCACACTACACACCTTCACTTTGTTCTCATAGACCACATGCACATGCAAACCCAACCAAATTTTACCTTTGGATTTGGGTAAAGATCATTCTTGGAGAGGTTTTTACCATCAGCTCCAGTTAAGAGTTTATTGCGAATATGAACCACAATCTCAGCTACATTATATCTGGGAAAAGACAAAGTTTCCATCTTGGACGTCTCCTTCTAGTCTGAAGAAAGAAAGAAAGAAAGAAAGATCAGACACACAATCAATAGTCTCATTATCTGGAAACTGATAAAAGTAAAAAGCAAAATGAACAAGTGAAGGTTGAACTATTCATCAGCGTGCCAGCTGTCATCAAATATTTTAGCAAGATAAAGATTTCGTGTGTATATACAAATATATGTAAATGTATATAACTATCCATAAAATAACTTTTATTTCAAAGTAGTACTTTCACTTTATGCTAATTTTCCTAATGCTGCTCTCTCACATAACGGAAAGATTTTGGTTGAGAGACAGTTGGGAAATCATGTATTTCTCTTTAAACATTTGGGACCAGACAATTTAAACATATCTTATATGGCCATATAACGCTGCATGTGCCCAATCTCATCTGATCTCAGAAGCTAAGCAGGGTCAGGCCTGATTAATACTTGGATGGTAGCCAATTTAAACAGATGATACGAGCCTGTGGGAACTTTCTCCCTGACCTGGGGACCAGGCCGGTTCCCTACCAGACCTGAGACCAAGACTGACAGGTAAGTGTAACAGCACTGGGTGGGAGCTCCGCCCAGCCCGCGGGAACTTTCTTCCTGACCTGGGGACCAGGCCAGCTCCCCACGGGACCAGGGACCAGGCCAAATCAGAGACTGTAGCAGTGGCAACTGGGAATCCCGCCCAGCCTGAGGACACACTCTTCCTGGCCTGAGGACCAGGCCGTGGTTCCCTGCTGGGTCCAGTGAGTGGGGCCATCGCAGGGAACCCAATCCCAGGCTGGCGGACCTCTCTCCCACACCTGGAACAACACTTGAAGCTCCAAAATACAGGAAAATGACAAAACGAAAGACCAAAATGCAATCTCAAACATCCAGCCCATCCCAAGAAAGCCCAGGAGCCATATACATAGAAGAAAACACATGCCACATGACTGAAATACCTGAAATAATGGTAACTGAAATAAAGAAGCAAGTATGGGAAGCCCTGAAGGAATTCAAACTAGAAATAATCTCTCAGAAGAAAGAAGAATTGATAAAAGAAATGAAGCAGATGCTAAACATAGCTAAAGGAGATGCAGTTAAAAAATTGGAGGAACTAAACAAAAGGATAGAATCCCTGGATAAACAATATAAGAAACAAACAGAATACATAAAACAGATGCAAAGCGATATACAGGAAATCAAAAACTCCATTGAAAGTTGTAAAAACCGCCTCAATGAATGTGAAGATAGAATCTCAGACCTCGAAGACAAGATTGTAACCAGTGAACAGGAAAGAAAAGATCTTTTAAAAATAACAAGAAATCAGGAAATAACAATTCAACACCTACAGGATGACGCAAAGAGAAACAACATAAGGTTGATAGGGATAAATGAAAAAGAAGAGGACAACATAAAGGATGTCAAGAGGATATTTAGAGAAGTAAGAGATGAAAATTTCCCAAACATGAGATTGGAAACTGATATCAAGATCAGTGAAGCATATAGAACTCCAAATAGTCACAACCAAAATAAATCTACACCCAGACATTAATAATGACCATCCCAGAAATTGAACAAAAGAATAGAATATTAAAGGCTGTCAGAGAGAAAAGACAGATGACCTATAAAGGAAAACCTACCAGAATTACAGCAGACTTCTCAGCACAAACAATAAAGTCAAGAAGAGCATGGAGTGATGTATTTCAGATCCTAAAGGAAAATGATTTCCAACCTAGGCTGATGTACCCTGCAAAACTGTCCTTCAAATTCGATGGAGAATAAGATACTTCCATGACAAAGATCAGCTGAAAAATTTCATGATCACCAAGCCAACCCTGCAAAGAACACTGAAAGACAGCCTAGATACATTTAGGAAAAAAATCACTAAACAAAGCAGACAATTAAACAGAGCAGAAAGATAAACATGCAACAGCAGAAAGATAATATGTCAACAATAAACCAATATATAACAGTTCTTAATATTAATGTAAATGGTCTCAATACACCAATTAAAAGAAACAGACTGGCAGAATGGATCAAGAAACAAAATCCAACCATATGCTGTCTACAAGAAACCCACCTAACTCAAAAGGATACTTACAGACTGAAAGTCAAAGGATGGAAAACAATGCTTCATGCAACAGGAACCCCCCCCCCCAAAAAAAAGCAGGAGTAGCTATTCTGTTTGCAGACAAAGTCAATTTCAAGCCAATAATGATCAGAAAGGATAAAGAAGGTCACTACATACTGGTTAGGGGAAAACTTCAAGAGAAAGAGATAACTATCTTAAATATATATGCACCAAACTCCAGAGCACCCAGTTATATAAAACAAGTACTAACAGAAATGAAAAACCAAATCAGCAGTAACATAATTCTGATAGGAGATCTTAAAACACCATTGACACCAATGGACAGATCAACCAAACACAAAATCAACAAAGAAATAAAAGAACTGAATTGCCCTGTGAATAAATGGACTTAATAGACATATACAGAGTATTCCACCCAACAACAACAGAATACACATTCTTCTCAGCAGTACATGGGTCATTCTCTAAAACAGACCATATATTAACTCACAGAACATATTTAAATAAATGCAAAAGAGTTGAAATTATCCCTTACATGCTATCGGACCATAGCGCTATGAAATTAGTAATTAACGATAAAAGATACTGGAAAAATCCCACAAACACATGGAAACTGAATAACACACTCTTGAGTAATCAGTGGGTCACAGAGGAAATTAAAAAAGAAATTAAACAATACCTACAAACAAATGAAAATACAGATACAACTTACTGGAATCTATGGGATGCAATGAAAGCTGTCCTTAGAGGAAAATTTATTGCATTGAGTTCCCACATCAGGAAAACAGAACGAATACAAATAAACAACATGATGCTACATATCAAACAGCTAGAAAAAGAAAAGCAAGTCAAGCCCAAAGCCAAAAGAAGAAATTATAAAAATCAGAGCAGAAATCAATGCAATAGAGACTAAGAAAACAATCCAAAGAATCAACGAATCAAAGAGTTGGTTCTTTGAAAGAATAAATAAAATCGATAAGCCCCTAGCCAACCTTATTAAAAAAAGGGAAGAAAGAGCTCAAATCCATGCAATAAGAAATGAAAAAGGTGAAGTCACTACAGACTCAATAGAAATACAGAAGATCATCAACACCTATTTCGAAAGCCTCTACTCTCAAAGGTTTGATAACACAGAAGAAATAGACAGGTTCTTAGAAACATATGAAGTACCAAAGCTAGATCAAGAGGATGTAAAACTGCTGAATAACCCAATCTCTATCAATGAAATTGAACATGTAATTAATTCCTTACCTACAAAGAAGAGCCCAGGCCCAGACGGATTCACTGCAGAATTCTACAAGAAATACAAAGAAGACCTAATACCGACACTCCTCAAACTTTCAATGAAATTGAAAGGGAAGCAATCCTTCCCAAGTCATTTCTGGAAGCAAATATTACTCTAGTACTAAAACCTGAGAAAGACCCAACTAAAAAAGAGAACTATAGACCGATCTCCCTAATGAACACAGATGCAAAAATCCTCAATAAAATATTGGCAAATAGGATGCAGCAAATCATCAAGAAGATTATACACCATGACCAAGTGGGATTCATCCCAGGCATGCAGGGATGGTTCAACATACGTAAATCAATAAATGTAATCCACCATATCAATAAAGCCAAAAGTAAGAATCACATGATCATTTCCATAGATGCAGAAAAAGCTTTTGATAAGGTCCAACATTCATTCATGATAAGAACTTTACAGAAACCTGGAATAGATGGTCTTTACCTCAATATAATAAAGGCCATCTATGACAAACCAACAGCCAGTATCATACTAAATGGCCAAAAATTGAAAGCCTTTACTTTAAATCAGGCACAAGACAAGGATGTCCTTTTATCACCTCTCCTATTTAATATAGTACTGGAGGTACTAGCCAGAGCAATTAGACAAGAAAGAAAAATAAAAGGGGTAAAGATAGGAAAAGAAGAAGTTAAATTGTCATTGTTTGCAGATGACATGATACTCTACATAGAAGACCCCCTACACTCCATTGAAAGACTCTTAGATATAATAAATAAATTCAGTAATGTAGCTGGATACAAAATCAATACTCAGAAATCAATAGCATTCTTATACACTAACAACAAAATCACATAGAGAGAAATAAGAGAAGCCACACTCTTCACACTAGCAAGCAAAAAAATGAAATATTTAGGAATTACTCTTACAAAAGAAGTGAAAGACCTATACAGGGAAAATTATAATACACTGAAAGAAGAAATTGCAGATGATCTCAGAAAATGGAAAGACATCCCATGTTCATGGATAGGAAGAATAAACATTGTGAAAATGGCCATTCTCCCAAAATTGTTATATAGATTCAATGTTATACAGATTCAATTGTTATACAGATTCAAAATTGTTATACAGATTCATCCCAATAAAAATACCATGAACATACCTTATAGATCTAGAGAAATCACTCCTAAAATTCATCTGGAGCCAGAAGAGACCTAGAATATCAAAGGCAATTCTAAGCAGCAAAGGCAAGGCAGAGGCATAACAATCCCTGACTTGAAGTTATACTACAAAGCAACAGTAGTAAAATCAACATGGTACTGGAATCAAAACAGAGCAGAGGATCAATGGAATAGATTAGAAGATACAACCACAACTAAGAGAAGATACAACCAAACACACTTAACCACCTTATCTTTGATAAAGGAGCCAAGCAGGTTCACTGGAAAAACGACAGTCTTTTAAATAAATGGTGTTGGAAAAACTGGCTCTCCATTTGCCGAAAACTAAAACTCGACCCAAGCCTATCACCATGTACTAAATTAAAATCTAAATGGATCAAAGATCTGAATATTAAAACAGAAACACTAAATCTATTGGAAGACGAATTAGGTAGAAACCTTGAAGACATAGGGGTAGGTAGAGAATTCATGAACAGCACTCAAACTGCATGGGAAATACTTCCCAGAATCAATAACTGGGACCACCTCTTATTAAAAAGTTTCTGTAAGTCAAAAAAAATCTCCAGCATAGTGAAAAGAAAACCCACAAATTGGGAAAAGATCTTAGTGAACTCCCCCTCAGACAAAGGACTTTTGTCTAAAACATATAAAGAATTAAAAAACCTCAGACCCTCAAAATTCAAAGACCCAATCCAAAAATGGGCATCTGAGATGAATACACACTTCTCAGAGGAAGAAATACAAATGGCAAATAAATACATGAAAAAATGTTCATCATCATTGGTTATTAGGGAAATGCAAATTAAAACCACACTGAGATTCCATCTCACTCCTGAAAGAATGGCTAGGATCAAGAAAACCATCAATAACAAATGCTGGAGAGGCTGTGGGTAAAAAGGAACTCTCCTACACTGTTGGTGGGAGTGTAGACTGGTACAACCTTTGTAGAGGTCAGTCTGGAGATTTCTCAAAAAGCTGGGATTGGAAGTCCCATTTTGTTCCAGCTATTCCACTTCTAGGCATCTTCCCAGAAGAACTGAAAGCATCATACCACAGTGATATATGCGCACCTATGTTTATAGCAGCACAATTTGTAATTGCCAGATCATGGAAACAACCCAAATGTCCATCAACTGAGGAATGGATAAAAAAGCTGTGGTATTTCTATACAATGGAGTACTACTCAGCTATAAAGAAGGATCACATTGAGGTATTTATCAATAAATGGGCGCAACTTGAAACCATACTCATAAGTGAACTAAATCAAACTTGCATCTGTGAACACCGAATAGTTTCCCTAGTGTAGGAAATGTTTCAAATATATAAAAGTTTGTGGTAACCATGATTCCCCATTATGTAGCCTTGAAGCCTTATAAAGTTTTCACTCATTAATTGGAATGGCTTTATTTTGGACTATTTGATATTATGGTCTGTGATACAATGAACAGCTATTTTGAAGAAAACAAGACATCATAATAGCTAGTGCTGATTTAATACCATCTTGTCTTGAAGCTGCACCAAACTATGGCTCTTCTGTTTCCATTGATTTTATCATGTTGTAGCTTGCTGGATTTTATCGTATGTGGTAGTATAAACAAAAATTGTTATAGGCATAGAGACAATATAGAAACCATTGATCATTTTTTCTGTTAGCTGGTTCTAAATACTCTACAATGCTTTCATCCACTTGAATGGTGTTACACAGTCTTGATATTTTTAATGCTATAGCATATGAAGTTATATTCAAATATTTCAAGGAAAAACACACTATGGTAACTACTATTAAGTCGGATTATTTGGTGATGAAGCACTAGGTTGCTGAAAGTGTCATGCTTTAACCTGTATTGTTATGTTGTTATGCCCCCTTTTATCTCAACCTCTCCCTTATTCATTAAAAAATTATTTATTTTTTAAATTTCTTTTTTAAACTAAGGGGAAAAAATCAAAAATCTAGCAGGATACATTATAGTAACTTTTTTTGATTTCCTATCAACTTGAAGTCCTATAATACCTCCATTATCTTGTTTTGACTGATTAGAGTCTATTCTGCTCTGTATGAAATTATCAAGTATCAGAGTATAGGCAACTACTTTGAAGGCAATAAGATTCACTATGATGCCCATACTGGTTTGACTATTATTCTCTTTTGAGGTTCTGTAAGATTTACAAAGTTTAGGTTTTATGGGTCTTGTTCTCTACTGTTTTTTTTAACTTTATAATACCTAAAGAGACAGACAATCCTTCTTAAGGATGCAAGAGGCATAATGGTAACTATTGTTGATAACCTTCTACTCTGTTTTTACATCATGTGCTATGTCTATCCTTGATTTTGACTGAGCTTTGTTTTATCATGCTTGATTTTATTCTCTTGCAAAAAAAAGTAATAAGATCTAAGGGAGCAATAAAGCCCAAAGTGTGTAAATTTTGTTGTAATAAAGAGAGGGAAAGAAAAGTGCCCTGAAGGATACAACAGCAAGGGTGTTTAGGTGTGTTACATAGAAGACCATATTAATATTTTGGATTGGATTACTGAACACACCTGTTTGCAGTCTCACTGTTTGAAGGTTCGCTTTGTGTGCTTTGATCCTGTGACCTGAAACACCATTTCTAAGATGGTAGTGAGTAATCTATTAACTGGTGATAGCTTACTGTTGTTTTTTTTTTTTTTTTGTAGTTCTGAATTACTTGTACCCTTACACTGTTTTGTTTTGTTCTGCTTTTTTTCTCTTTTTCCTTTTAAATAAAAAAATAAACAGATGATACAAGGATTAATCCTCAAAACAAAGCCAAAGCATAAGGCAACATCTTCAGCAAAAGCTATTATAAACACTTAGTAATATATGAAATTGCATCCTGATTTGATATATTATTTAATACACACATAGTGAGATGACTAATACAATACAAGTAAAAGACAAAAAAAGAAAGAATAGAGGGTATAAATTGGCAGGGATTCCTAGCACTAGAAATAAGAATTTTAAAATAACAAAACAACAAAAAAGTCCCCTAATGTATTTAAATAGTGAATTATTCTTATCTATGCCCCCTAAAGAAGTACTTCTCACAATTTTGTGTCCCCTTCCTCCAGGGCACATTTGGAAATGTTTTGGATACATTTTTGGTTGTCAAAACACGAGTGGAGATGTCATTAGAATCTGGTAAGTAGAGACTAATGATGCTTTTAAATATACAATGCGCTGATGTAGCCTTCCCAGCAAACAATTGTCCAGTTCAAATGTCAAGAAAGCTGAGGATAAGAAACTGTCCCAGAGTGCACATTTATCTATGTTGCAATACTTACGACCATGTATTGGGATGACTGTTAAAGAACTCCGATGGTACACTGTGAGATTCCAGTAAGTTATGCCCCTTTCATTTCCTTATCTCTACAAGTGCCTAACAGCAACAACAACACTAAGAGCAAGAGGAGTGGTAACATCAGCCAGTGTCTCAATCATTCACTTAAATACTTATTTAATTACCCAGAGCCCCCGTCCCCTTCACCAGTGAAGCAGCATAACCTCGAGGACTCAACATGAATATATTCAATTTTGCAAACAAACTAAAATGGTCCGTGATTCTGGAAATCTATTTCTTAGGCTCATAATGTTTCCTAGAATATGAGGGTTAAAAAAGAAGCTTTGGCAAGGTGCCTAGGCTTTAATAAATATAGGAGGCCTTCCTTCAAAATGACTGTCAAATAATTTCCTAGTTATGCTTGAACCACTGAAAACATCACAGAATTCACCGACTCACAGCAACTTTCTCCTATTCTGGCAGGGCTCTAATAATTAGATAAATCTTCCTTACATTAAACAGAATTGTATGTTGTAACTTTCACCTGCTGCTCCAATTTCTGGTCATTGCAGCTACATAGAATGTATTAATCTCTGCTTACATGATACTACTTTCAAAAATGTGATGAAAGCTATGCCTCTGCTAAGCCGTCTCTTCAAGGTTAAGTTCAGTTTCTCTACATAGAGCTATTCTTTGTATGACATTGTTCTGGAAACTTTTTTTCTTTTTAAATAAACTTTTGCTTACTCTGCTCACTCAACAATCAATAGAGAGTTGAGACTAGACTGGGGGAGGAGTCTCCCACTCACCAAGGAAGCAAGCAATATGAATCCAGCCCATTGTCTTCTATTTCTGTGACACTACCTAGAGACAGTGGTAGAAGTTATGAAGTGCCACAGGCTGAGGGTATAAGTCCTCAAGTCTTCCCCACTCTCAAGCCCTATATTAATTTCCTGTTTCTGACCAACATGTTCTCATCGTTCCTTCCTTGAAGTTGATCAGTTTGCTAAGGCAGCTCACAGAACTCAGGGCAATACATTTACTGCTTATTATAAAAGACATTATAAGAGATGAACACTGATGAAAGATGAATACAGAAAGGTATGATGGATGGAGCATGCAACCTCCAGGGATCTCCAGGCATTTGGCTCCTCAAACCTGACCAGTTTGGGCTTTAACGAAACTTTCATTAAGTAACCATGACCTACCATGGGTGACCAGCTTAACCTTTAGTACCTACCTTCTCAGAGACTGCAACATGGTCCTGAAAGTCTCAACTCTCTAAACTTGCTGTGATCTTTTAGATCACCAGCCTGTATTCTGGTAGTTAGAGGCTGCCAGATATCAGTCAACCATTAGTATACAAAAACACACTTAGCATTCTCCAGGTTGCAGTGATTTTAGATGTGTATCAAGAACTTGGGACCAAGATCAAACACTTTTCTTCACAATATCAGATCACACTGCTTACCTTTCTCTAAAATATTATTTTATCAATGTCCTCTTAAAACATGATGTCAAAACTAAATACAATACTCCATCTAGTGGGCATATGATAGATTATTAATACAGCAATGAATGCCTCTGAATCTAAGCTACAATTGTAGCACTTACAAATACATGCTTATGATCAACTGAAATTTTTAAGAATTTCTTCCACATGATCCACTTATATCGGTCAGAATTTTCCCATGCTCTTAACTTATTATGTATACCTTAAATTTATAATTGTAAACCTTTTAGAGCCAAGAGCATTTTGAATGTAGATTTGGATACTTGATATGTAACAAAGTAAAATATTCTATCCCAAATGCATTTCTTTGGTATATTTCCAGTTAGTTTTGGAGATAAATTGCATACTTCTACAGAGGCAGAAATAGCATTCAAAAGCTGTCATTTGGGACCAGGGACATACTTCAGTGGCACAGCACCTACCTGACAAGCGTCAGGTGATGAGTTCAAGTCTCTGTACAAAAAAAAAAAAAAAAAGCTGTCACCTTGTAAAAAGAAATTTATAAATAATTATCTGTACTTGTAAATAATAAAAGCAAGCAGACGCTTCCCTATCACTGTCATTTCGGCACAGGGAAGATTTATGCATAGGAAGAGAAGAGTTTGGTCTGGAACAGACAAACTACCACAGGTGGCTGTCACCTGGAAGACCTTCATAACAGACAACTCTGCTTACTCTACATATCTTCCCTTCATACTTCTATATCCTGTAGCCAACTCCCTTTCCTCCAAAAGGCCAAACCCCTCTCTTTGTTTATCCTTTTAATTCTCATACTTTTATGTGTACATGACTCTTAAGCTTAAGGACATAATAAATTCTGGGGTTTTCCCTTTAAATCTCCGATTGCTATTTATTTCACAGACTAATAGTATTAAACCTGCAAGAAGGACAAGAGCAAACACAATGCTTCCCTACATAAACATTGTATATTTTCATCTAAGTCAGATTTAGAAACCATTGGTAAAAAGAAAAGCTGCAAAAACAATTTACTTTTCCAAAATAAACATGTAGAATTAGAGATTACAGTGACACAATAGAAAGAGTAGATGTAACATATCTTCATAATTACTATTATACATCTCCCTGCAATGTTTTGTACACTTGCTTGTTCAGTTAATACTTATAAAACGTATAATGCATCATGTTACACTTGTACAAAAATACTTGAATTACCTTATCCAACATATCGAATTTAAGTTTATGTGCTTGGATTCTAAAGTTTTTAATAATCTAATGAACTATCTGTTCCAGGTTGTTTCATTTTGGGATGGATGGTTTCCCATATCCAAATTCTGTTAGTTATTCCTTCATAGTACAACTGCAGTTTCAATTTAGTCCTCTGTGTGTGTGTGTACGCGTGTTCCTGTTGCTGCACAGAAAGAACTTTCCACTACATAATTTGAGCTTTTAAATTGGATAAAATACATAGATACACTCAGTGTGTATATGTAAAACGACCATTTGGTAGCCTGGCCAGTAGCATAATTATCCGCTAATTACCTTTCAGCGACCCATTTATTTGAAATACCATATGTTGAACAAAGCAGGTATTGAAAGAATTGTTAAACCTTACACGCTTCGTTTTCCTAAACGTTCATAACATCCACAGCTCCAGGAGGAAAAGATTAAACAAAAATAAACAGAAATAACTTCCAATATCTCAACCAGTTAAGTAAAATATCCCTGGAACTCATACAAGGGGAAAAATAGTGCCCTTAGGACACTTCGTTTCTTTACTTTTGCACTATACTATTTTTCACTTTTGATTCATAGTTTTAGATGTAGCTAAGATATAGCTGAGTAATGAAGATCCTTATAATGCTGACAAACAAGAGCAACCAGTCAGGCCCTAGCAACATCACTCTTCCTGATAAATATAAGCTTAAATTAACCTGCATCAGGTCGAGTCTCTTCCAGGTCTACATTACACAGATAACACCCATTTGTGTCTTAGGAACTGACCTCAGGTCTTCTGGGAACTAAAGTCAATTGAATAGGAGCTAGAGGCTGGCCCTCCACTTTTAGGCGCTAGTTTCTTCCGCCTTGCCTCCGCACCGCGCACAACGAAAACACTTTGAGCAGTGTCTCGACGCCTAAGGAGCTGTAAAACGTCTCGGTCGGCCTCCTCTGTCCTCCGGCGCCGGCTCGCCCTCACTTTCTGCCTTAGCAGCCGGCCAGAAGAACAGGAGTTCGCTGAGCAGCGACACACTGTCAAAAACCAGCAAATGCCAACCGTTGCCACTTTTCAAACCTGCCGCTTCTACTGGAAGTCCCGCCCTTTCTGCCCAGCCCACAACCACCCGTTATGGGTGCCGGTAGGGTTCAAAAGACTCAAAGAGTGTGGGGCGCAAATGTGCAAGAGAATGTTGGTCTCCAGGCAGGCGGAACTGTTATTTCTGTGGAGTTGGTTTCTAGTCGGAACCATTATTCTGTAGGAAGGGGCAGCGCCGCCGCTAGGGGGAGGAGTCTGGGCTGGTCTTTCAGCCCGCGGCTTTCCCAAAATTCTGAGAGTCCATAGGGTTCCACGTGAAGAGCTAGAGCGAGCCGACGGTGTTGGGAGACTTTCGCTAAGCTCAGGGTGACAGGAGAGGGGACGTGGGGCTGTCAGCAAACCAAGGGTAAGTCAGAGACCCAGCAAAAGAGTATCAGTATTTGTTAAGCTGGAAGCTGGTAGATGCTCTCAGGGACGTTATCACATTTAAGCTTTGTGAGAGCGCGGGGTTCAGGGGCGGATAGATACTGTCATTATCCTCTTGAAAGAGGACTGTAAGTCACAGAGATATTATGTAAGTGGTCATAAGCCACGCTTGGTAGTCAGAGCAGCCTAGCCAGGCAATGAACATCAATCCTCTGGGTCTGCCTTGGTGAGCGGCAGTTTCTAGTTTCTGTGAGCAAGTCCTTTCACTTTCACGGTCAGGACAACTGAAGTGGGAGAGAAATGATTTGTTCCTAGTGGCACCTTCTGGAGTAGATTCCTCTCTCCTGTCATCCTCACTCCAGGCTCCGCCCACCACTGTATTGTTCCCCCCAGCTTGCACTGGTCTGGATGAGTTAAGATTCTTCGGATAAGTGGTCCAGAAATCTGTACAGTTTTTTCCCACCCGTGGGTTTTTAAGCTCACAGTGGAAAAACCACATTTAATGTAACACAGCACCTTGCAGAAAACGTGATGAGTGTAGTTGTCAGAGGAGAACTCTTTTAAGTTTTATTTAGGTTAGGGGACCAGAGAATTTAAGGCTTGTAGATAAAGTCTAAACTGAATGACGTCAAAAATACTGCGAGAAAAGTCGTGAAAATAGATAAGCATTCTCGTTCTTTTTATGTGAATTGAAGACTTACACCTATGGATACAGAAATCTGTACTAATTCTGAGTAAAAATACATTCCATATTCAGTAGTTTTCCTTCCTTGGCTCATTTATGATACAAGTGATACAAGTCTTAGTGATAAAACTCAAAAGCAGGTTAGAAAAAACAAGTTTATAAAACATGAGACACAGTGAGATGAGGCTAAAACAGAAAAGATCTTTATCATTGGCATGTGCTAATTACTCCATAAAGTCAGGGAAGGGGAGCCTGGTTTAGTGCTTGTGAACACAACTCCGAAGTTGGTCTCAGACTACCCCACTTACTAAATGAGTTTAGGCAACTTGTTTAAAGTAGCTGAGATGGTTTTCACGTTTAAAATCACTAATAGCCTATCTTTATGCTTTATAGAGTTTCTTGATGATTAAATGAATATAAATGCCTGACAGAATTTTGACTTCTCAATAAGTATTAGATGTTATTTCAACTATTATTATTTTTACCTGAGACTTAGTAAAACTATCTCGCAAATGGTAAGTACTCAACAAATGCCTGAACTGTTATTGAGACCCTCGACAAGGAATGAGAGACCTCTCTGAAAGCCAAGGTTAGAATATTTCATATGGAAAGAAAATGAGTGGAAAAAAGGAAATAGTAGAACAAGATAAGTACATATTATTTTATATACAATAAAAATTTGAGGGCAAAATTTTACTATAACTGATGAGTTAAGTAGAATTACAGATTGCACTATTTAAGAAAAGCTAATTGGTATTTATTCAAATTATCTCAGCTAAAAGGATAAATGTGACTTTTTCAAAATTCAGTAGAAGGTGAAGGATAGAACAATAGAATTCTTACCCTAGGCATTCTGGAGTCTTGTCATCACCATAAAGATACTAACTACCACAGAAAATGAAACTCCAGTACAAAGACGCTCCTCAGAATACAACAGGGTTACATCTTGTTAACCCATTGTAAATTCAAACTATTTTAAGTCACAAATGTATATAATAAAACTAATCGAACGTGATAGTTTAGCAACACAGTACATTGTAGATTTCATTTCTTGATAGTGTGGCTGACTGGGAGCTGAATCTTGCTCCTTCTGCCCAGACCATATTCTGTTTCATAATGCTGGTGTGGGAAAAAGTAAAAATTTGAAGTATGGTTTCTACTGAATACATATTGTTTTTGTACCATTGTAAAGTGGAAAACTTGTAAGTGGAACCACCATCTTCAGTTAGGGACTGGGGATATTCTTTTTGGCTGTAGCATCTAATAACATAAGACAGATTCTCAGAATCCAACTTCAGCTCTTCCTGATTCTTAACAATTCCTTAATAGTCAGTCCCTTATCCTATAACTTTCAGTGATTTCTCACAAGTTTTACCACCTATACAATCCACTTTTTAACTTCAACTCCTCTCTACTTGAAAGTGGCCAAAGTAGTCTAAACATGTATTTTTCAAGCACTTAATACATATTCCAATGACTGTTCCTTATCTTTTAATTCCACGTTCCTCTTCTAGATGGCACTTTAAAGAATGATGACAGACCTCTAAAGACTGAATGCATCTTTGGTTGACAAGATCACGCTTGGTGAGTCCAGAGGAGCCTCCAGCTGGGACGTTAGTGTAGGTGGCATCCCGGTGCTGCTAGTGCTTTAAAAATTCCCTTTTATAATGACAGAGGTTCCAACGTTTATTTCTGCTTTATTTGAATGTATCAGTAAAAACAAAAATTTGATTCATTTGAATTAACATAGCAGGAATAGGTGAAGTACTGTAACTGGGCTGTCTCTGCATGACATCACTCACTCACTTATTTGCATATAGATTCCAGGACCTTCTTCTCAGTTATTTGAGAAAATTAAAGCCTCTTTCAGTATATACTTTAACTTCCCTCAGTGCCATATTTATCTACTTTTCTCTTGTCTATCTGAGAAGATAAACTGTACCTCTTCCATCAGTTCTGTTCACTGCTTCTCTTTCTACACCTCTCAGCTGCATTCGATAGAACTAAGCAGACCCTTCTTTTGTATTGCTCTCATTTTTTTCTGTTCATCTCGTGCATCATGCATCTTAGTGGATTCTTTCTCTGCCTGCCCTTTAAACAGTATTTCCCAAAGTTTCAACCTTGAGGGTTTTTTGTCTGTATCTTCCCATGTGTAGCATCTCCTTTCATTTTTCGCCTAAATATCTGCTCATAGATCCTAACACTACTGCTATGTCTGACTTCTCCCTTGAGCTTCAGACTTTAATTTCCTTTACTTCAAACTCTGTAATTCATCTTTTAATTTCTACTACCAGTTCTGTTACTGCATCTAGCCTTTCCACCTCTACCTCACAACCAAGTCTGTCTTGTAAGTAGCAATTAAGGAAGAATAGAAAAATAAGTATAGGTTAAAAAGAGACAAGACAAATCATAATTTTAAAATGGTACTTTTAAAGAAAAATGCAGTTTCAAAACACAAAAGTTATACAAGCTTACAGTGCTTTTTTTGCATCTAGGAAAATCACTTCAAAAAATTTCCTAAGGGTCTAGAAAATACAAAGTCTGTAAGTTGGGGCTGGACCAATAGTTTTTACCTTTAAATTGTTTTTCCTCACAAATAGCTCCGACCTCAAGGAAGCAGGACTTTTAAGTGGACAGCAGATGTCTAAACTTCAAGCACATACAAATGGTTTGCATTGTATAACAGCCCATGAAATGGGTGGCCAGACAGACAGTGTAAATACTTATCCTAGATCTGTGCATCTTGAAGTTAACCCTAAAACCATAGGAAAACCGCAACCCCAGACCATAATTAATGCGCCTCTCTCTTGAAGACCTATACTCTATGCTTACTGTGTATACATTCTAAATTCTACCTAATAAAACTATCCTAAGTGCCTCTTAGTAATATGTCCTGAAAATTCTTTTTTCCATAATTACAGTCAGTGAACTTGTAACCTACTCTGTGGGTAGGTAAGTGCTTGCTCTTTGGAGGATCTCCTTGGACCCCAAAGAATGAAAAAATGTCTAGTTCAAATGTAAATTTGACCATTTTGCTTTTCTACTTAAATGTCTATATTCTGTCTCTAACCATCTCCAAATTTATGTTTGAATCCATAACCTGATATGCTGCTAGGTTGCCCATGATCTTGCCACTGTTATTTTCCATTCTTCTTATCATATTCCTTGTCCATTCATCAGCCTGTTGTAGAATCTTTGAGACATTCTTGGTGATTCTGTCTGGACTGTTCTTATTTTCTTTCTTTCATTCTTCTTCTTATTATTTTTCAGAAGCCTTCCAAGAGGTCTTCCTTATGTCACAATCTTAGTTGATTTTTTTGCCTTTGCTTTTTTTTTTTTATCGGTACCAAGGATCAAACTCACGACTGTGCGCTTGCAAGGCAGGCGCTTATGCCACTGAGCTAAATCCCCAGCTCCTTTGCCTTTGCTTCTTGACCCTTGTTTATTCAAAAATAGGTCATTGAGCCTTACTTTTGTGTGAAATAATGAACTGTATGCTGGGGATACAGTAGTGAACAAACAGATGCATTGAGAGTCAGCCCATTTCCTACCCTGACAGTTTAAATTCTTACAGGAAAAAAAATTAAAAAAGAAGAAGCAGCAGTTCAGTTTTATTGGCTCCATGTTTAAGAATATCTAAGAAGTGACTAAGTTATATAGTATAAAGAACAAGTTTTCTACATAGTATTGAAAAAAACTGATGAAGGCCCATGAATGAGAAGGGAATATACTGTAGAAACTATTAGGGCTGGAGAGTGAACAGTGACCAGGTTATAAGGCACACTGCTGGTTAAATTAAGGAGATTGGATTTGTTTCTTAAGAGTAATACTGGCAGTAAGTATGAAGAATTTTAACATGATTAATTTCATTTTACATGATAAATCAGACTTCTAAGTAAAAGAAACTGAAGAATGGCAAGACTGGAGGAAAAAAAAAAAAAACAAGTTAGGAGATCATTATAGTATTCCAAGGTCAAGATTTCTTGGTACTTATTTCTTGTTGCTGAGACAGAATATCCATACCTGATACCCAAATGAAGGAAGAAAAGGTTTATTTAGCTCACTGTTTGTGGAGGTTTCAGTCCATAATCAGCTGGCATCAATGCAAGGTGGCATGGCACCAGGGCACTTGAAGGTAGCAGCCAGAGCAAAAGAGAAAGATGTAGCACTTACATCAGGTCTGTGTCTCCCTCTTGCACAGGGTAAAGCTAAGGATACTTACAAAATAAGGATCCTGGCTCCCTGCAGAGTCTCTTAGTTACATTTCTAAACTTCTCAAGTTGACACAATATATCAACCATAAAAATTCACCCATTGGGGCTGGGGATTTAGCTTAGCAGTATAAGCACCTGCCTTACAAGTAGGCAGTCATGAGTTCAATCCCTGGTACCGATAAAAAGTTTAAAAAAAAAAAGACAAAAAAATCCACCCATTGTCAATTTAGCAGCCAAACACATTTCTTTAAAATTGGTCTCCACATATAAAGGCATGCTTATCCTTATCATTTCACAACTTGAATATTATAACACAGATTTAATAATCTTTAAGAATCAATTTTAAGTCTATCAGTATTATATTACATGAAAATTATAGCATTTGTTCCTGGCTCCTCCAAAGACTCAAACACATTCCTTTATGCAAAAGGCATTTAGTCCATCTCTAAGAGTTGCCAAAATCCTGTTTCAACATTGTTAAAAAGTTCAAGTCCCAAGTCTCCTCCAAGATTGAAGGCAAACTCTTACCTGCATACTCTTGTACAAATGTAAACAAAGTTAAACACATCCAACAAGCACAGTGGCACTAGATAAACATTTTTGTTTCAAAAGTTGCAAACAGGAGGGTACAAAGGATTGAAACAAAGAGTGTCAAAAATCCAGCAGAGCAACATTAAGTCCTATAGTTGCACATCCAACATCTAAAGCAATCTAGCAAATTTTGAGCTCCAAAGAGTTTGTGTGACTTCATCCTTGTAGCACTTGTGGTAGTTGTAGCTCCCACAGCTTCTCTCTTAAGTCTGCTTTGCTCTCTCCTTGCAGCTTTCCTTAGACAACCCACATTCCTGATTTTTCTAAACTTCTGGGATCTCCACTGCACCTGTGACTTTACACTCACAGTTCATGCATTGTCCTCTCAGGAGCATACCATCTGGCCTTCCAGACCTTCTGAAATCTGGATAGAAGCCTTTTTTAACCTCAGAACTCCTGCATTCTCTATCCACTACTATGTGGATGGTGCCAAGTTTTGCTGCCAGCTGGAGCGGTAGCCAGGTTGTCCTCTGTTTTTGCTGTAGGGGTCAAATGTCTGAGCTCTCCAACTCCAATTCTGAGGAACAGATTTTCAATGCTGCTGCTATTCTGCAACATTGTATGGCTGCCACTGTTGTGCAACATGGTGCTCTGCAGCTTTCACCTCAAAGCAGTCTTTCACTTTTGCAGTTTTGAGGCTGTAAAGGTTTGAGACTTCCTGCTTTTTGTGATACCTTCCAGTCATCTTTTCTATTCTGTTCTTTCTCAATAGTGGAGTTTTTCTCAGCTCTATCTTTACATTCCAGAGCTTTATTGGAGCTTCCTTTCTGTCCAAACTCACAAGTTTATATCATTCTGCTGGGTTTTTTGCTCTTGATTTGCAACATAAATGTGGATAAAAGCCCTCAGCAATATTTGACTGCCTTGAAATTTATTCTGCCAGATTAATTAGTCTGCTGCCCTTAATCTTAGTCTTAGGCAAAGTCTCTGGACACAAGCAAGATGCAGACAAACTTTCTGCCAACCCATAATACTTATCATCTGGAGTGCAGCACCCAATGCAGTCCTTCCTCACAGAAACCTCCAGAGCCTGGTCTTTACTAGCTTTCTGGTCTTCTGAACTCTGATCCAAATCTCCCATACAGAACAGCCTAAGCTGTTCTAGGGCTACTCTTTTAGATGACATCACCAAACTGTTCCAAACTCTTCCCACAACCATTCCCAAAAGCTCTTGAACCACATGATCAGTTATAGTCATAGCAATAACTCCACTCCTCTGGTACCAAATTCTGTCTTGGTTACTTTTCTCTCATTGCTGATAGCAAAATGAAGGAAGGAAAGGTTATTTAGCTCACTGTTTAGAGAGGTTTCAGCCCATAATCAGTTGGTTTCAAGGCAGGGTGGCATGGTACTGGGGCAACACTTGAAGGCAACAGCCAGAGCAAAAGGAGAGGATGTAGCATTCATATCACCTCTGTGCTCTCCTCTTGTACAGGCTGAGGATATTTACAAAGTAAGGATCCGGCTCCCTTCTGAGTCTCTTAGTTAAATTTCTGAATTTCTCAAGTTGACACAATGTATCAACCATAACAGAAGATGATAACCTTTATTAGGATATTATCAGTGTACCTGGAAATAAATCCTGGAAGAATTAATGGCAGAACTGGGTGACTCATTACTTTATAAGGGCGTAAGTGGGAGAAATAAAAGATGGTATTCTGTAAACAAGCTTTAGTGAAGACAGACTACACTATTTGCTAACATGTATCCACAAATTACCCTGTCTTTCTACATTGTAGATGCTAAATAAACATGAATGTAGTAGGCCTGAGCATCTAGATAAATGGAGTGCCATTTTCTGATTTAGGAAAAAGGCAAACTTGTTTGGAGGTGACTAGTGATTCAATTTTGGACATATGTAGATCAGGATACTTGGAATATACATATGGCATTGTCCAGATCCATTGCAATGAGATAAATGCTTCTAAAATTCAAGAAGAGAAATCTGAGGTCAATTCTTTGCATACATAAAAAAGTTGAAATTTTTATTGTATTGAAATGATCTGTTTTGTGTCTGTCTCTACCACTGTACAGGGTGGATCTTCATGACCTTTGGTTACCCACTACCTAGTACTATGCCTGGTATGTACTGGATATCCACTCCACGTTATTGAATTGAACTGCTACCTTTCAAACATGGTGTAACTAATGGGAGAAAACAATAGTAGCAGCCTCAGAAGATTTTCTTTTTATTGTAATATACTTTGGTTCTTTTTCTTCCCACTCCCACGTGCTTATATTTCCTGTGAGAAATAAAATTTGACCAAAAGCTGTTCCATTTTATTTTTACAGACTTAAAACTGAAAATATCACTTCAACTGTATTCTGGTGCTTAGAGTGAGATTTTGTAATACTATCCAAGATCATGTTAACATTTTGACATTGTCACATTATTGATTGGTTTGTAAATTCTATGGTGTTATCTTGATGCCATCAGTAAGTTCACATATGTAAATCATTAATAATATGTATCATTGTCTTTAAAAGTGATGACGTTGCCAGTCTGAAGTGAAATTACAAACACATTTTATGTTGTCAAAAAATCTTTTGAGACTATGTATTATGAGATATAGATAAAATATATGAAAGCAGATGACTATCTGTACTGTCCAGCGTTTCATGTGAAAGGTGAGAATGATATGTCTCTCCTATCATCCAGCATTTTTGGCATTTAATATTTAATGTAACATTTAACATAACATTTAATATAAAAATAATCCTTTACTCACGAACATTGTAATATCATTTGCACGCCTTAACTGTACTTAATTTGAATGCATAGATTTAAATATGTAATGCTTGTTTTATTTTCAAGTTAGTATTGTATATAATTTCATAAATATACTGAAAATGATGGTTAAAGAAAATGAGAAATTGTACAGAAGTAGCATTTTTTGCTTGTAATAGTCACTGGGTGGCGCTGTTGTTTAATATTAATCTTACGATTTTGTGTCATTTTCTTTTTATAAGTAAACAAAATTAAAGTGCTAAACATTGAACACAATGTTCTGGATGGAAAAATTAGATTCTAAATTTATTGGCTTTAAAATACATGTCTGAAATTCTTCTTATGAAGAAAAACAGCATAGAATTCAAAGTAGCCGTCTGCTTTTTGTTTACCCATTAATCATTCCAGCCCTGTTAATCTGCTTCGCTTCTCAGCTACATGCATCTTTATTTTAGTGGTTTTGAGAATCGAGGTATACATTTGCAGTTCCTTAAACAGTATCTTTGTTAAGGACTCAAATGGAATTTTTAGTTTGAAATCATAAAATATCTACTCTTTGCTAATTTGAGCTCTAAACCACACCCAAGAAAGTAAATAATTGTCAAGCTGTATTCAGTTTCTCTAATATTTTTTCCTCAATTTCCACAGAAAACTATATAACTCATACTTTTAAAATTTGTATGAATTAATTAATTAATTTTTGAGACAGGGTCTAATTCCTCTGTAATTCAGCTTGCCACTGAACTCACTATATATCCCAGCCCTCTTGCCTCAGTCTCCCAAGTGCTGGGATTGCAGCCATATACCACTATGCCCAGAATTATTTCTCATATTTAAATACAGTTGATATAGAGGAAATGAATATTGGAGAGACACAATATTCATACCATAACAGAAGGGCAGATTAAAAATGAAACCAATAACAGTGTAAATCAAAAGTTGGAGAATTATTTTTTGCTCATAATCCTGATATCCACTCTCATAGATTTTATGTATATATGTGTGTGTGTATGCATTTATGCATATATTTATATATATTATTGTGATTCCTATTATCTAGAGTGAATCCTCTAAAAAGGATTCTATTTAATATAACCTTAGAAGAAAATCATGTCTAAGTCCCCAACATCATTCCATAGCTTCTAATCTTCTTTTCTCTAAAAAATGAGACTTTCTTGAGTCTGCATATTTACATATATATATATATATATATATATATATATATATATGTAGCATCTATTTTATCCTTATTGAAAAAAATCACATTATTTTTTCTTCACTATGAAGCACATTCAGCCTGATAAAAAGTGATAAAAACCATATAAATTTAAAATAAAATACAGTAGTGGATTAACCCTAGGGCAATCCATTAAGATCAGTTATATGTATATACCTTTTGCATATATATTTAAATAACAGTAATGATAGCTCACATATATATGACTTCATTTAATTCTCACAACTGCATAAAGTTGATTTGAAAAGCCAAAAACAAATTAAAACACAAACAGTTTTCTCAGGAACATATATTTAGGAAATAAAGATATCAAAACTGAAACCAAGTAGCTAATGTTAGAAGCTCTGTTCTTAGTTCTTCTGTTCCCTAATCTTACAGCACACTGATGAGCTTCTATGTTAGTTTTTATAACCTATGGAATAGACTTGTCTATATAAAATAAAGCAAATAAAAATGAGATTCTCTAAGGAATACTGATATTTAGTTGGACATAGCAGAGCATTACAGTGAAAATACATGTGCTGAAGTAAATGATAGGCATATTCAAAGAAATTGAGGCAAGGAAAAATTCTTAAAGATAAAGATGATTACATCAGATAGTTTGATCACACTGATTAAAATAAGTTTGGCATTAGTTTCAGGTTGAACAGACCATTGCTGCTTAGATGCCATTATAGAAATACTTTTTGTATTTCAAGCTTTCATTGACTGTGCAAGCTTGGGGTTCCGGTAATCTTTTGTGATGGGTACTTCTAGGTACTTATGAGCAAGAACCTTTTCTTCCTAACCTGCTGTTGTATATTCTCATTAGGGTTGACACAAACAACTCCATTTTAATTTTAGTAACTTTCACATTTCTATCTGAAACTTCTTTCTATTTTCTACAGATTGTATCCCTGAATCCTTCTTACAGGAGTTGTATCTTTACATACCTTCACCATCAGCCACTTCCCTATGAAACATACAAAATACATAGCTGGGCGTGGTGGTACCCACCTGTACTCCCAGCACTCAAAAGCCTGAAGTAGGAGAACTGCCATGAGTTCAACACCAGCCTGAACTACTTAGCCTCTGTCTAAGTAGTTTTAAAAAATCACAAAATACAGAAACCTGTAAACGATTAAGCAGTTCTTTGGGGAAGACTTTGTTGATTGGATTTTTTGATGACCATTTATTCCCTTGTGTTGTTCAAAGAATTATGTCTCCCTTCTATAGTCCTCTGAGCAGGATGGCAGTCTCAAGAATATTTTAGGCCTTTAGAGATACCTTATGTATCTGTTTTCTCAATTTTAACCCTTTTCCATTCTTTGAAAACCCAGAGCATGACCCAGCCCATTTCCCTAGGATCTACTATCATTATATAAGGGAAAAATAGAGTTTCAGATTCTCTTATTTACTTCCTTTTTCTTATACATATAACTTCAGCCATTTGTTCATTGCTGTTTCTTCTATTCATCAACTGAGGTTCCTGTGAAGATTTTATTCTGGGATTAACATTATCTAAATTATAGCACATTTAACATTTTTATTCCTCTCTGAGAATTAATTTCCTTAAGAAAACCACTATTTGCTGTGTGTGGGGAATTCATAATGACAGTATTTTTTTTTTTTTTTTTGTCTTTTTCCTTTTTATCGTACCAGGGATCGAACTCACAACTGTCTGCTTGCAAGGCAGGCACTTATGCTGCTGAGCTAAATCCCCAGCCCCCATAATGACAGTATTAACGTAACTTTGACTTAACCTCTTTGGAATGAGCCACACTGTCTTTTATTAAGAGAATACTGCTACCCTGATTGATGTTGAATTAGTTGTCTTAAATAAATGTTTTTCCCTTAGCCACAACAGGGGTGTAGTGGTGTGGGGAATGAGGACATTTATTTCGCTCCTGTTATATTTCCATTTTAGGCTTAGAGATAGAAAGCAGAGTGTCAAACTACACAGGCAGGTGACTGCTGTTGAGTAAAAATTCAGATTCTAATGTCCAAGTAATCACTCAAATATTGCAAAAAAATTGTATGGATTGTAAATGTACTGGCCAATATCAGTTCATTGAGCTCTTGTACATATAAAACATTATTGTTTCACTATACTACAAAACCACAGTGATAAAATCAGCATGGTACTGACAAAGAAATAGACCTGATGATCAGTGGAACAGACTAGAAGATGCAAACACAACTACAAAGACACTTAGCCACCTGATATTTGACAAAGAGGCTAAACATGTTCACTGGAAGAAGGACAGCCTCTTTAATAAATGGTGTTGGAAAAATTGGCCCTCCATATGCCGAAGACTGAAATTAGATCCATGCCTATCACCATGCACAAAACTAAAGTCTAAATAGATCAAAGATCTAAATATTGAAACAGAAACATTAAATCTATTGGAAGACAAGATAGGTAGAAGTCTTGGAGACATAGGGGTAGGCAGAGAATTCATAAACAAAACGCAAATTGCATGGGAAACATTTCAGAGGATCAAAAAAAAAAGCAACTGGGATCTCATATTATTGAAAAGTTTCTACAGTTCAAAAGAAATCACCAACAGAGTGAAAAGGAAATCCACAGAATGGGGAAGAGTTATAGCTAGCAACCCCTCAGACAAAGGACATATCCAGAACATATAAAGAATTTTAAAGCATCAAGCCCCCAAATTCAAAGACCCTCTCCAAAACTGGGCGTCGGTGATGAACACACAGTTCTCAGATGAAGATATACAAATGGCAAATAAAATACATGAAGAAATGTTCACCATCACTGGTCGTTTGAGAAATGCAAATTAAAACAGCATTGAGATTTCTTCTCACTCTGGAAAGAATGGCTGCCATCAAGAAATCAACTGATAACAAATGTTGGCGAAGCTGCAGGGAAAAAGGAACACTGCTCCACAGTTGGTGGGAGTGCAGACAGGTGTAGCACTATGGAAATCAGTATGGAGAATTCTCAGAAGACTAGGATTGAAAGTTCCATTCAACCCAGGTATTCCCCTCCTGGGTATTTTCCCAGAATAACTGAAAAGGTCATATCACAGTGATATATGTGCACCCATGTTCATAGCAGCACAATTTGTAATAGCTAAATCTTGGCAACAACCAAGATGCCCATCAACTGCAGAGTGTATGAAAAAGGTGGTATTTTTATACAATGGAATATTACTCAGCTATAAAAAGGATGATCTTGAGACCTTCATAGGCAAATGGAAACAACTTGAGGCTATCCTCATTAGTGAAATAAATAAATAAAAATCATATTTATAAATATCACATTGTGACTCTAATGTAAAAAGTAATAAGAACTGCAGGAATGATAAAACCCAAAATGTGTAATTGCTATTTAAAAAAAAAAGAGGAAAAGAAAGTGCTCTAAAGGATATAACTACATGTATGTTTAAGTGTATAGGATTGATAACCACATTACCAGATTTTTGTTGGATAGTTGAACAGAACTCTTTGCAGTCTCGCTATTTGAATGTCCACTTTGTATACTTTACTTTTGTAACAAAACTATTTCTAGGAGGACAATATATAATTATCAACTAGTGATTTCTTACTGTTTATTTTTTTTTTGAAATTATTCTACCCTTTTTCTGTTTTCTGTTTTTCTTTAAATAAAAAAATGTATAAGACATTATTGTTTCAGAAGTTAGGACAGATTATTTACCAGTTAGGACAGATTATTTACCAGTGCAAGATAATGTTTTAACTTTGGATTCTTCTCTATGAGAAGCTACTTATGTGTGCTTGAGTCTAGATTCCTTAGTCTGGTAGTCCATTTTCACATTATCCCAATCCACATTTCTTTTCTAACATAATTATCTATGGGCTTTTTTTGTTTGTTTTTTGTATCAGAGATTGAACTCTTGACCTCGTGCTTGCCAGGCAGATGCTTTTGCTGCTGAGCTAAATCTCCGGCCCTCTATGTTTTTAAAATATCTCATGTTGGTCTCCTTAAAATAATCCCAGCTCACAACACTGTCACCCTCAGTATATTACTTCCACTTTTATGTGATTTGCTTTTTCTCCCCTGATTTTCCAACCT